GATAAAGCAGAGCCCATAAAGATAAGCTGTGGGTGTGTTTGGTGGATTCCCTTTCACCGGGCACGAGGCTCCAGAGATGGATTTCAGGCTGCAGGCTGCTGCCTCTCAGGAGGATTTCAGCCTCTCCTCTGAACCCTTCAGCCTCTCCCGAACCTCTCAGCCTTTCTCTGAATCTCTCAGCCTTTCTCTGAAGCTCTCAGCCTTTCTCTGCCCAAGGGCAGACCCTGCTCCTGCAGCCTGAGCCGTGTCTGCTGCCAGCTGTGGATGGTCCCAGTAATTTTCCCCTCTCTGTGCCCGCTGCACAGGCCTGTTTGGCACCAAACTGCTCCTTGTGATCCCGTGGGTCTTTTGTCATGGATTTACTTGGGAAAGGCCCTCAGGAACAGGCTGTGGCAGCCAGGGAATGTCTCTGGTGCAGACCATGGATTTACCGGTGACGCATGAGGACGCAGCGCTCTCCTCCTCCTCCTCCTCCTGCTGTCAGGCTGCTCTCGCTGTAGCTCTGCTCTCCTTCAGCATTATTCCCTTCTCCCCCATTTTAGGGGTATCATTCCTGCCTGGCTTGTCAGGGCAAGTGAAGACAGGATGGATCTGGCTCCAGGTCACTCCCCAGCTCAGAGCCTCCTTCATCCCACGCCCCAGGGAGAGCAGCAGCCTCAGACAGGGCTCTGGAGCTGAATTCTGTCTGCTGCTGTCAGTGGGATTACAGTGCCACTGCAAACAAATGGGTGAAAAAAATGTTTATTTTTAGAACTGGAACCATGATAAATATGTGGAATTTGTCCAGGGTCTGCCTGCTGTACCTTTTTGAAATGCAAAGTGCATGTCTGTTAAAATACCTCTCCAAAGGTCAGCATAACCTCTGGAATGAGTGTGCTGGCCTTTTAGAAAGCAGGTGAAGCTTCAGATGAGAGCACGGCCCCCAGAACCCAAATCTGCCTCAGTGTCATCTGACACCACAAGGATGGAAATGCTGCCTTGCCAAAAGGGTTTATCCTTCAGTGAGGAGCCTCAGACCATTCCTCTCCCTTCACTTCAGCTTTTCCTTCCATTTTCCTGCCTTTTATATTTGCTGGGTGTGTTTGAGGGACGTGCTGTGAGTGTCATGTTTGAAACTGGTGAGAGTGGGGATGAAAAATGGAAAACTGGAATAAAAAGAGGGATGGAAGCTCAAGGCATCCCTCAGTGGGTTTGTGTCCTCTGTGGTGATGCAGCCAGGCTCGCAGGGCTCAGGGGTTGAAGTGTTAGAGAATCTCACATTTTTTCCATCCTTTTAGCTGCCCATGAGGTGGAGGAAATGGTGTTACTCTCTTTTAGACAGGGAAGTGAGGCAGAAAGAGAAGAAATGACTTGCTCCCAAGAGTTGTAGGAATCTCACAGCTGAAGGAAAAAAGAAAAAGAGTTGGCGTCGCTCTTCACTGCCTGTCAGGCACCCTGGGCAGGGTGGCACTTGTGCCATGAGCTCGGCTGCCGTCATCCCACTTTGGGGTGGGGATGCACAGCCGGGAGAGGAGAGGCTCTGGAGCAATAGCAGAGGGAATAAACCGAGCCAAACTGTGGAAGCCGAGCTGCAAATGAGGGCAATTCAAAGACACAATTGAAAGGCACAAACATCCTGTTGAGCTTGGAGTCCCCGTCAGCACCTAATGAGTAAAGCACATGCCCCAGCTCAACCCTAGGCGTGTTTCAGTGGGAAAACTCTGCCTCACTGCCTCGGGTGGTGGTGGCAGGGTTTATTCCACAGGCAGGTGTTCATGTGAAGGGGGGAGCAGCATTATAAATAAATTGTCCCTTCATTTCCGTCCCAGCGTTTCCTATTGTTTAGCCACAATATGCTTTCCTGTTTTTTTAAAAACAAAACAAACAAAACAAAAAGTGCCAGATCCCGACCCCGAATCCCCCTCTGGTAGGGTGGACCCAAAGCTGTGTTTGAAGCGCGTGCCGGTGTTCTCGCTGTCCTGTCACTCGTGCTGGTGGCACTGGCGCTGCCACCTTGGTCCTCTGTGCCTTCTGAAAGGGGCAGGAGAAGAACCTGCCCGGGAGCAATGCCAGGGGCATCACATCCCTGGCAGGAGCCTCTTCTCCATCAGGGGGCTGTGGGAGGAAGGCTGGTGCTGCACTGGCATTGGGAACAAGGGGATTTTGGGGATAGCAGAGAGGAGAATAAAATCTGTCCTACCTCCTTCCTGCTGCTGGCCAATGTGGGGCATTGAGGCCATGGCACTTGCAGCAACAGGGGGGTTGTTTTTAACCATTTTACAAACAAAAAGCAGCTCAGTGGGTTATAAAGTGAGGGTTTGTCTGCCCAGCCAGGCAGGGTGTGAGGTGGCACAGAGCCCACCCAGTCCCTCAGGAGCTCCTTGGGGTCCATCCCAGCTCTGCTGGACCAAGGTCCCAGCTGAAGGGCACAAAGGATGTGTGAATGCTCATGGAAAAAGGGGTGCAGTGTGGGGAGGCAAGGCCAGGAGAGGCTTCACCCTGCCCTGTGCTGGCTGGGTCCCTGCCTGGAGCCCCCAAACCCTGCTCCCTTGGCAGCAGCTCTGTTTGTCAGGAGTGCTGACAGGCACACATGGAGCAGCACCCACATGAGCACGGGTGGGCTGTGCTGGGAGCAGCCATTTCTGCATTTTAGCTCTTCAGCAGGCAAGGAATGAGATTTCTCCTGGAAATACAGAAAGAAATGTCCCTTTCTGGGGAGCCCTGCTGTGCTGGGGCCTGGCCTGCAGTGCTGCTGGGGCAGAGGTGCTGTGATGGGCAGGGGGATTGAGCCTGGGGAGGATTTTCCCTTCCCCATCTGCTCCAGGGCTCTTTTCCACAGCCCCAGCATGGAACTGGCACCCTCCCCTCACTGCCTGAGAGCAAGGATGCATTAATTTCCACTGGTGTTTGACAGTATTAACCACTGCACAGCAACTGTCACGTGCAGGACAAAGCAAGAGACACAACACCTTTTGATTGTTATTTATATCTTACTGCAAACAGGAGCTTTTTGCCTTCATAGCCCTTTGACTCCTGTTGCAGGTGCCTGATTTGAAGGGCTAATCCTGTGCTCAGATCTTGCTGCAACCTCTCTTCTCTCTGCTCAGTGCCTCAGTGCAGGTCCCAGCCTCTCACTGCCCTGTCTGCTCTGGTTTAGCTTCCAAAACAAAGCTGCCACCACTGTAGCCCTCCTGCCAGCTTACCCAGCTGAGCTCCCAGGATCTTCTGGTGGTTTTTTTCCAACAGAGAGAAATGACAGAAAAATCCTTCCCTTGTCACAAAGCAAAGCCTGGGGTTGCACACAGGGAGGGAGCAGCTTGAAGGAAGGGCCTGGCAGGTGGCTGCTAAAGCTTCAAGCATGGCAAAAGTGTTCAGAATAATTGTGAGCATGTGAGGGGGGTTTATATTTAACAGGATGGCTTTGGGCATTCAGAACGTGTTCCATTTTTGTTTTAAACATCTACAAAGCCAGGTGCAGAGACAGGAGGAGAGGTGGAGTGGGTGGGGAATGGGGAGACCAAATTCCCTGGAACACCATGGTGGTGGTGGGAGCCCAGGACCTGGAGCAAGTCCCCATGTACTCAGGGATATGCAAAAGACGTTGTCTCCACCTCAGGGAGCTTCTAGCTAAGGTTTAAGATTCAACGTTGAGCTTTTTTTCATTTCAGCTTCATGCCTGTGTGAAGCTCACTTTAGGTCCCAAATCTGCTTTTCTTGAAGTCAGTCTCAGAATTGCTATTGACTTTAAATGCTGCAAGATCTCACCCATCAATTCTCCCATCTGTAAAAGGAGGATGGCAGGATTTCTGTGCCATCTGCGGTGCTGTGAAGCTGAAAACAATCATCATTTATAAAGTGCTTTGAGCTCAAATGGGAGCTTCTGGGTAAAGGCAAGGATGAAATGTTCCTGAATGTGCCAGTTGCATCTGATATCTGAGCCAGGGGCTGGGTTGAAGGTTTAGGAGGAACAGTCTGGTGTTGCAGAGGTGTTCCAGCTGCTGAATGTCTGGGATTATTTGTGCTGGTCAAAAGTTCCTGTTCATCATTACAAAATCAGGGCACAGAGGAGCTGGTGGCTGCATGTCCCACAAAAATCTCCTAAAACCCATGCTCTCCTTGAGCATCTGTGATTTTTTAACAGCCACAGTCCTCAGAGCTCCTGTCTCTGGCCACCATGTGAGTTAACAGCACGTGCACTGCAAGGAGGAAACTTGGAGCTACAGATGTTGGGCTTTTCTGAGGGCAATAGGAAGCGTCTGATGGGAACAAAGGACGTTCCTTCCTCTCCAGCTTTGCAGGGAAGCTGCCTAACCTTGCTTGACACATTTTTGCAGAAGGCTGAGAGCCAAACTGGGACGGCAAAGAGCAGGTTGTGGTTAAGCATGCTGTGTGAAGGTGAAATATTGAGAGGCTTGGAACACAAGCCCTGTGAGGAACAACTGAGGGAGCTATGGAGGTGTTTAGTTTGGAGAAAAGGAGACTCAGAGGTGATGTTATCACTCTACAGCTCCCTGAAAGGTGCCTGTGCTCAGCTGGGGCTGGGCTCCTTCTCCAGGCAGCACTGACAGAATGAGAGGACACAGCCTGAAGCTGCACCAAGGGAAATTTAGATTGGATATTAGGAAAAAGTTTTTCCAGAAAGGGTGATAAAGTTCTGGAATGTTCTGCCCAGGGAGGTGGTGGAGTCCCCATGCCTGGGTGTGTTTAACAAAGCCTGGGTGTGGCACTGGGTGCCAGGGTTCAGTTGAGGGGTTGGGGCTGGGTTGGACTTGATGATCTTGAAGATCTCTTCCAACCCAGCGATTCTGTGAATTCTGTGATTCTGTGTGATTCTGCATGTGATTTTGTGAATTCTGTGTGATTCTGTGAATTCTGTGTGAATTCTGTGTGATTCTGTGAGATTCTGTGTGATCCTCTGTGATCCTGTGAGATCCTGTGACACTCCACCTCTTGCCAGAGCGCTGCAAATCCCACCCAGCCGAGCCGAGCCCTGCTGACATCTGTCCTTTGTCCCTTTGCAGACACGAGCCACCAGGCGCGCTCGGTGTCCAGCCGTCCCTACTACAGCCTGCCCAACAGCAGCAGCCATGAGCGGCGCTCGGTGCTGGCTCTGGCGGAGCCGCCGCGCTTCCACTCGCAGGCCAAGGGCAAGAACGTGCGGCTGGACGCGCACTCGCGCCGGGCCACGCGCAGGAACAGCTTCTGCAACGGCGTCACCTTCACCAACCGGCCCATCCACCTCTACGAGAAGGTGCGCCTCAAGCTGGTGGCCGTGCACCACGGCTGGAGCGGGGCCCTGCGCTTCGGCTTCACCATCCACGACCCCTCGCAGATGAGCTCCGAGGAGATACCAAAGTACGCCTGCCCCGACCTCGTCACCCGCCCCGGCTACTGGGCCAAGGCCCTGCCCGAGAGGTTTGCGGTCAGGGACAATATCTTGGCCTTCTGGGTGGACCGGCACGGCAGAGTTTTCTACAGTATTAATGATGAGGAGCCCATCTTGTTTCACTGTGGTATTAAAGTTTCCGGGCCTCTTTGGGCGCTCATAGATGTCTATGGAATTACCCATGAAGTGCAAATTTTAGGTAAGTGTGTCTTTGTGGCCTGTGGGCTGCTCTTCTGCTTGCTCTTTCTGATGCATGATCTATGTGAGCATTTCTATGGGACACTTTAGAAAATTAATTTGCTGTTGGTTTTGTACCGCCAATTAATCATTTTTCCTCTGCCAGCAGTAGCAATATATTCCAGAGATGGCAGTGATGAAAAGTCCTAAGGCTGCACATTATGGGAAGGGATAAATGGAAATCTTTACCTGTAATTCCACTCAGCTTTCCCTGAGCTGGATGTGCTGCTTTGGCATGGAAAAACATGGAGCAAGGTCCCAGGGACTGAGGAGACAAAAAGGACCAGTTGTGACTTTGTCTATTCTTTCCCAGCTACCAGTTACTGCCAGTCCATTGGAAAACTTTGAGTAATTGCCCAAGAGTTTCCTGGAGCCCTTCCTCAGCCCCTCTCTCTGCTCTTGGCCATGGTCCCACCCAGGCTGGCACTTTGAGGGGCTGTGTTGGCACTGTGACCCTTCCTTGGCACAGGGACATCACTCAGAGCCCTGGAATCAGGTGGAGTCTGGCTGGTTTACAGCCTCATCCTTAGGGAGGGCTGCAAGAGGGGATGAATCTGTTCCCATTAGCAAACCCAGCTGATGGCCATGGAATGATTTTCCTTTAGTGGCTTTTACAGCATTGAAATTTCTAATTAATTCAGCGTTAGATGGAGTGTTTGAACTGGGCTGCACCACAGGGAACACTTTTAAAATCCAAGAGAGTTGCCCTTTGCCGGAGACTCCTTGGAGCTGATGGAGTTTGAACAGCCCAAGGCAGCTGCACCTGCCCCAGGGGATGGTGCTGCCAGCCTGGCACGGAGCAGGCACCAGGGCTGAGCTGTGCAATGGTGAGTCCAGAGGGCAGGCAGCTCCATCACATATCCTTCTCAGCAGTGCCAATTATTTTACAGGCGAGAAGGCCACACATAAACAACGCTTTTCCCTGTCTGCTGTGCCTCAAATGTGTAATTAAACTGCACCAGCAGCTTGTCCTGTAATTGCAGTTGTGACACACTCCAGCCTCTGGTGCTCATCACAGAGGAGAAGGAATGTTTGCTGTATTGGCCAAGGCAGCTGCTTTACCAGAGCTCTTCTTTCTCCTCATTAAATTGGAGCCTGAAAAATAAAATGCAGCTTCTTTCTGCTCCCCACCACCACTCCTGCCTGCAGCATCCAAGAGTTCCCAGTGAAAAGCTCAGGCTGAGAGCACCTGTACTCTGCTGGGAGGTTTTTTTAAATTAAAACACCCAACCCCCCACACTGCCCCAGGAATCAGGGCCATACTCAGCCACCTGGGGCACCAGGGGACCTGAATTCCTTGCTTAAGGATCTTCTTGTCTCTGCCTCATCCTCCCAAAATGTTCCAAGTTGAGAAAATTGTGAAATCCAGTTCTGAGGCATAAAATGTGTCTTTCAGCATTGTGAGTCACAGAATGGTTTGGGCTGGAAGGAATCTTAGAGATCATCTCATTCCAGCCCCCTACCATGGGCAGGGGCACCTTCCACTATCCCAGGCTGTTCCAAGCCCTGTCCAACATGGCCTTGGACGCTTCCAGGGATGAGACACCATCATGAAGTTTGGATGTGTCTGACTCCTCTGTGGGAGCATTTCTTGCCACACAAGCTGTGCTGGCTGAGAAGGAGCTGCTCCAGCCATCAGCCCACCCCAGTGGCCTCTCCTTCCTGGGTTTCTGAGTGAGGCAGGTTCTGCTTTGCAGCTGCTGGGTGGATTTGGGTGTTTTTCCTTTTTTGCCAAAAGCCTGGGGATTCTCTCCTCCAGGGAGCAGGCAGTGTTGGTGCTGGGCTGCTTCACCCCTCCCCATCTCTGGGAAGACCAGGAGTCATTCACACAGACTCTTAAATTCCACATGCTCTTACTTTGCTCAGTGCATTAAACCCTTCAGAGTGAAGTGTCCAGCTGCCCCTGCAGGGCTGGAGGTAGAAGGGTGAACAGTCCCAAACTTTCCCACACCTTTATATCACCCCCAAGCCTGGCATGGCTCAAGTGGAAATCTGGGAAATTAATTAAGGATCAACATCCTGACTTTCCCTTTGCTGTGAAAAGGGAAAACAACCTTCTGCTGTAAAAGCTTTCTAACACCTGCAGGAAGTAGCTTTTGTGACAAGCTCTCCATTCAAAACCTCTGCAGGGCTGTGAACACCCCTGAGATATGAGGCTTGAAATGACCTCTCTGGGACACACCTGTGCCTGGACACAGGTGTAAGGCATTGACAAGGAGTGTGGAAAGAATATCTATTCATCCTTGAGTCCATCACTTGTGGACCTGTCTTGCACAAGACCTTGGGACAACAAAATATTGAGATTTTTTTTTTTTTTTTAATAATATAACCTCAGAGCTATCAGATCCTTCTGTCAGAAAGCTGTAGGAGCACACTGGTTTCCAGCTTTTCCCCATTTCCCAGTGCAGGGAGCTCCCAGATCACACAGGTACTTTGGAACACTTGGTTTTCCTTGGCTGGTGCCAGATGCAGCCACTCTCTGCCTGCTCCACGCGTGACTCTGCACCAGGAGCTGGTCATTAGTGGTTGACCCGTGGCTGATTTTTCCTCATGGAGTCTGTAGGCTGCAATAACAACTGTAAGCATAAAAACAGGCGGTTTTCTCTTGACTAAAGCCTCTGTGCCTGGGTTTCTCTCACAGACAGCATGTTTGCAGAGACCATGACCACGGCCCGGCTCAGCACCGCCCGGCTCAGCACCTGCCTTCCCCAGAGCAACCACGACTCGGCCAACTTCAACAACAACGAGCTCGAGAACAACCAAGTGGTGGCCAAAATTGCAAACCTGAACCTAAGCCGGGTACCAGGGCTTGGGACTGACAACCACATCATCCCCTGCTGCCCCAGCCGGCGGCAGCACGCCCAGGGAGTCCCGGCCTTCCTGGACACCGACCTGCGCTTCCACCCCACCCGCGGCCCCGACATCACCTTCTCCCAGGACAGGATGGTGGCCTGCACCAACTGGCAGGAGAGCAATAGGACCTTGGTGTTTTCTGACCGGCCTTTGCACATCGGGGAGAGCCTCTTTGTGGAAGTAGGACACCTGGGGCTGCCCTACTACGGGGCCCTCTCGTTCGGCATCACCTCTTGTGATCCGAGCACTTTGCGGACAAACGAGCTCCCAGCGGATCCGGATTTTCTCCTGGACCGTAAGGAGTACTGGGTGGTTTACAGGGCCTTCCCAGTGCTCAACAGTGGTGACATCCTCAGCTTCATGGTCTTGCCCAACGGAGAGGTGCACCACGGGGTCAACGGGGCCAGCCGGGGCATGCTCATGTGCGTGGACACCTCACAGTCCCTCTGGGTGTTTTTTACCATCCACGGTGTGATCAACCAGCTCAAAATCCTGGGTAAGTGCAGCACATGGAGCACCTGGCTGGAGTAGGTTCCTGGGCCAGAAGCAGAGCTCTGGGTTTGCACTCAGAGTGTTCACTGATGGGAGGATGCAGCTCGTTGTGTTTGCAAACAAGAGTGACAAAGCATGGTGCCTGTCACAGAGATGTGTGCAGCCTCTAGGATTGCCCCAGGAAAGAATGAGGCTTGGGAGATAAAACAAGCACCAGGCAGAGAGGCAGAGATGGCTGTGGGGGGCAGCTTTTTTTCAGTGGGTTTGTTTTTGAAGGGAGTCTTTACAAACAGGGATGGTTGTGGGGGGCAGCCACTTTTCAGTGGGTTTGTTTATAGAAGGGAGTCTTTATAAACAGGGATGGTTGTGGGGGGCAGCTGTTTTTCAGTAGGTTTGTTTATAGAAGGGATTCTTTATAAACTCCCTATTCCAGCCCACAGGTATTAAACGTCTGCCTTGCTAAGGATGGTGATTTTTATGGGCACAGTTCTGGTTTAAGCATGGGCAGTAATTGCTCCTGAAGCACTGCCACAGCTCAGGGATCAGCTGGCACTTCTGATCCATTGCTGGTGACCAGTTCCAGCCTTTCTCATTTCCTTCTGTTAAGGATTCAATCAGAAAAGCAGATGTTAATGACTTTGTAAAGCAGGTTTTCTTCATCCAAAGCAATGGCTTTTCCCAGCTGACAGTGTGACAGCCACAGCTGGAGCCCACTGCTGCTGGGGAGAGTGGGACCGTGGGGAAGAGGAAAGGCAAATATTGCATAACCTGGTGCTTGCTTCTCTGAAGCTGAACAGGCATCATACAAAGGCATAACAAGGTCCAGACCCTGGGCTCACATCCAGAATCTTGCCCTACGTTGTTTCCAAGGGGCAGCATTAACTCAGGACTTGCCCTGAAGTCGCTGTGCGGGGGGGTGGGAGCAGCTCAGCAGGCTGAGGGGTTTGGCCAGGTTTGGGGTGTCCCTCTGTGGGCTCAGCTCTCTCCTGTGTTCCCAGGCACGGTGCAGTCCAGCCCAGGGACGGTGTCTCCCTCAGGATCTCCTGGTGGCTCCCAGTATGACAGTGACTCAGACATGGCCTTCAGCGTCAACAGGTCCTCATCAGCCTCCGAGTCCTCGCTGGGTAAGGACAGCCAGCCTCAGCCCCAGGGAGGGGGGTTACCTCTCCTGCCAGGCCAACAGAAGGAATGGGAAGAAAACACAGTGCTGGAAAGGTTTTCATGGCCTGGAGAAGGGCTGTGCATTGGTTGTATCAGCCCCAGTGTGGCCAGCAGGAGCAGGGCAGGGACTGTCCCCTGTGCTGGGCACTGCTGAAGCTGCACCTCGAATCTTGTGTCCAACTCTGGGCTACTTGAGATGAGAAAGACATGGAGGGGCTGGAGCATGTCCAGGGAAGGGAATGGAGCTGGGAAAGGGGCTCAGCCTGGAGAAAAGGAGGCTCAGGGAGGACCCTCTGGCTCTGAACAACTCCCAGACAGGAGGGGACAGCCGGGGGAGTTGGGCTGTGCTGCCAGGGAACAGGAACAGGATGGGAGGAAACAGCATCTAGTTACACCAGGAGTGGTTTAATTCAAATATAAGGAATAATCTCTTTATGGAAAGGGTGGTCACGTATTGAACAAGCAGCCCAGGGAAGTGGTGGAATCACCATCCCTATGGGTTCAGAAAATGTGTGGATGTGGCACCTGCCCCATGTGTAGAAAAGGGCTAACAGGCTCTGACTGCTGCACGTTGGAATACACTGGGATTCACTTGGCCAAAGAATCAGGCAATGACTAAGGACAGCCTTAAAACCTGCCTTAAGTGTGTCACACAGTGTCAGCTTTGCTCCATCCCAGTTGACCAGCTTCATTCTCCCTTTTCTTTTGCAGTGACCGCCCCCAGCTCCCCTTTGAGCCCCCCCATCTCTCCTGTCTTCTCCCCTCCGGAGCCATCGAGCAGCAAGAACGGGGAGTGCACCGTGTGCTTTGACAGCGAGGTGGACACGGTGATCTACACCTGCGGACACATGTGCCTCTGCAACACCTGTGGTCTTAAGCTGAAGAAGCAGCTCAACGCCTGCTGCCCCATTTGCCGACGGGTCATCAAAGATGTGATAAAGATTTACCGTCCGTAGGGGCTGCAGGAAGGGGGAACGCCGCTAGCAACCCACGCCTTTCCGTCCCTGCTTCTGGGTTATCGTGCTGGTCAGTCGTTATCCAGTGGCTCGTTATCTGTGTTTCCTTATTTGACTGCTAGGGCACAATTCAGGGAGCAAAGCTGAGGATCGTGTGGGGCCCGGGACCTGAGCCAGCTGCAAATGAGAAATTTCCCCTGCAAAGGCTCTTTTTTCTCTCCTCCTGCTGAGGGGGAGGCTCGCTGTGCTGTGGGTTCAGATGGGGAGGTTGTCACTTGGGCAGTGCCAGGTGCCACTGGGCAGTGCCAGGTGCCACTGGGCTGCCCGACCCTAAAACCCCACAGCTCTGGGCTGCTGCCAGGGGCTTGTGCTGTGGTGGAGTAAAAATGGGATAAAGCCCAGCAGGAGGGTTCAAAGTGGACAGAAATGATCTGGAAATGTCATGTAAGGAGAACCAGCTCAAGCCAAATAGTGACACAGCCAGACTGTCACTTATTGGGGTTCTGTCCCCATGAACAGACTCATGGGGACATGGAGGAGCTGGTCTGGGCTTAGATAATGCAGATTTTTCTTTCTGAGGCAGGACAGGGACTTCTGACCACGGAGGCTGAGAGCCAGGGAGCTGCCCTGGGGTAGCAGTGAGGAGCAGGAGCCCACACAGAGCCCCTGTAGTGATGGAGCTGCAGGAGCTGTGAGGGGCACCTTGGGCACTGCCCTGCTGCCTTCTGAAGCCATAAACACAGCCTGTGGGTGACAGGGGTGTGTGGATGGGACACTGCAGTGGTGGCTTTGCCACCTGCAGGCACACACCTCTGCACTTTGCTCTGCCCTCCTGGAGGTGGCACAGCTGCTGTGTCACCTGTCCTGCCTGTCACCTGTGCTAGACCTTCCCCTGCAGCCAGTGCCATGGCAGGGCTCAGCCTTCCTCCCGCCCCACCACGGGGATTTTTGGAGGCTTTGGTGAGAAATTCATTTCTGACCCAGTCCCATCAGGCTCACCTTTATTTCTGGGGACTGTATGTGCTGATTTTACTTGTTCTTTCTTTCCCAGCACAGCTCCCAGCTGCCTGCACGCTGGGTCTCAAGTGTACCTGAGACCTTACTGAGAAAAAACAGGGACTATCTCACTTGGCTTTACTGAGGAGGAAAGAAAAAGGCTCTGAGGCTGAATTAGATGGTGGGAATTTAAAGGTAAATGGGTTTTGGGTGTAATGTCAGCTGCAGGCAGCACCTGATTGTTCAGTACCAGGGCTGGTGTGAGGAGCTCAGCATCCTCCTCCCTGCTGCTCCAGTCTCTGTCCTTTGCCCATTGCACAGCCCCTATCCTGTCCTTCAGCCCCAGCCTGGCCAGTTTCCAGCTGCTTCAGGCTCAGAAAGAGGGAAAAAAGATGGAAATGGGAGGATGAGAGGAGCTGCGTCCCTGCAGCTCGGTGACCGTGTGCTACCAAGTGCACAAGAACAGCTTTTCAGAAAGGTGCAATTACCACATTTTAGTCTGGAAAAGGGAAAAAATGGAATGATAACTCCTGTACATTTTAGAGCTTCTGAGCACAGAGGGAGCCTGAGGGATGTCTGCCTATTCCCTCTCTCCTCCAAGGCTGTGGGTGTGTGGTGCTGCTGCCCAGGTGGGGGCTTGGCTGTGCCAGGAGAGCTGGGTTTGGCTACTGGCCTGTGCCAGCCCTGTGCCAGCCCTGTGCCAGCCCTGTGCCACGCTGCCATCAGGGAGGGCACAGCCAGGGAGCAGCTCATCCTCCTCCTGCAGCAGGCTGTGCTCACAGGGCACCCAGAAACCTTTTGTTTTTTCCTTGGAGTGCTGATGAACATTTTTATTGAGTGTGGAAGGAGAGGCTGCTGTGACCTCTCAGCCATGGCCCTGCACGAGGGCCCAACAGCTTTGCAGAGCCCTTTTTGAAGACCTTTTTGGTGCCACTGGCTGTGCCACCACCCTGAGCAGAGCCACTGCACCTTTCACTCCCACCTTTCCCCGAGGAGGAGCCAGGGCACATTCCCTGCATCTGGAGCTTTTCTGGACCTCCCAGCTGTCCTGCACCCCAGGGAGCACAGGCTCTGCTTTGCCAGGGATGTCCCAGCCTCACGCTGGCAGAGCCAGGCCCAGCTGTGGGCAGTGCCAGGGTGTGTCAGCACCTGCCTGGGCACTGCCAGCCGTGGGAAGCCTTTCCCTGGGGAGGAATTCAAGGAGAGCTGTTGGAATGCCCAGCCTGGATCAGGTCTGGGCCGTGCCCAGGGTGCTGTCCCAGCTCCAGGGGTGCCCTTGGGTCACTGCTCCCAGTGACACCAGCGGGGCAGAGCCCCCCTTGCTCGGTGCCACCTCAGGGCCTCCATCAGCAGGGTGGGTGCAGCCTGGCTGGGGTTTTTTGGTGTAGCTCTGTTTTGTATTTTTAAGCCAGCAAGGAGAAACACCGAATCCACCCCAGGAGCTGTTCAGGACACTTTGCAGAGGCTGAATTTTTGCTGTAGCAGCCAAAACCAGTTTGCAAGAAGGGGCAGCACCCAGTGAGGCCAGCAAGGAACCAAGAGGGATGGGAGAGCAGTGGACCTGTGGCCCTGCCTATCCAAGAGCAACAGGAATTTTCCAAAATAGGCCTCAAAAAAAAAGAAAAAAAAAAAGAAAAAAAAAAAGATTTCCAGGAAAAGGTAGCCTCTTACAGATTTCATTGTTAGTATTCGTATTGCTATTTTTTTTAAACAGTCCAATGATATATGATTTGTACAGAAGATCTGTTTGTGCCTTATAAGGGTGTCTGTGCACTTTTTATCCTTTTTAAAGCAACTTTTAAAAAGAAAAAAAAAAAAAGATGGGGGGAGAAAACCAACACAGATCAATGGTAGTTTTATAGAATTTTGTGTTCACTGAGAATCCTGCTTTATACATATATATATATATATGTATATACACACACACACATATATATATATATATATATATATATTTAGGAGTGAAAAAGTGTTTATTTCCATGGATTTTCCCCTCCTCTCCTCCTTAACCATTGTTTGAAAATTTAAAGAAAAAAGGAAGAAAGGAAAGAGATGGGGGAACTCTTTTACCTCTCCCCCTTTCTGAGGCAGTTCCTCTCTTGTCGTTACCTTTATGATTCAATACTGTGACCTGTATTATCTTGTTGAAGCTGAATCAGATTTTGGACCTCTGTATTAGGCTTTTCCAGCAAAATTTTGGGGGGCCTGGGGAGGGAGGGCATCGCACGAGGGAGGGAGCTGCACCTCTACATGTCAGTGCTCTATAGTGTTCAGTGCTGTGTGTTTTCCTTTTGTCCATTTACCTGTTTTCCATGAATATAATTTTGACTTGTTTATGAAACAAATAAACCTTTGGCTTGTACAGAGTGCTCCGGAGTGCTTCAAAGAGTTTGAGCTGGGGGGGTGAGACAGCCTTGATTTGCAAAGTGAGGAAAGACTAATCCAGAGGGGCAGAGACTTCCAAAATAATAAAAACAACTTTACAAACCTTTCCTGAGCTTTGCTTTGCTCCTGGGAGTCACTGCCCGGTGGCTGCTCACTCCCTCCGTGGGCTGGGAGGCTTTGCTGGCTCATTTAACCCTGCAAATCCTTGGAAGTTTGGGGGACAAGGGTGTATTGCAGGGCTACAGAGGTGGAAGGCTTTGGGGGCCTTCTCAAAGAGCCCCAAATTTCTTATCCACTCACCAGCCTGGCCCCTTCCTGTGCCCTGCTGAGGCTGAGGCAGCCAGGGGTGATGGAGACACAGCAGGAGGCTGATTTTAATTTTAGTTTTTTTCCTTTTCTCCTTTTTCCTTCCCCTTTTCCTTTTACCCTTCCCTTTTCCCTTTCTTCTTTCCTTTTCCTGTTTTCTTTTCCTTTCCCTTTTCCTGTTTCCTTTTCCCTTTTCTTTTTCTCTTCATGTGGAGTGGAAAAATTCATCCACAACTCTGCCCTGCCAGAGCTGAGTGTTCACACAAACCCCTCGCTCACTCTGGGTGCTGAAGGAGCTGACAATTTATGTCAAAATGCCTTTTTAGACACTCTGCTGCCTCAGTTTACCCCCAGAATTGATCCCTGGCCACCCAGAACCCCCAAAGCCCCTCAGCACTGGCAGTGCCTCCTTCTCTCTCTGCATCTTCCCAAAATCACTGAACTCTGCTGGTTTGAGCCCACAGTAAAAACTTCCACACTCCACTGCCCCATTTGGTGGGATATAAATGAGATACAAATCTGGGCACCAAGGAAGACACAAGGAGCTGTCAGGGTCCCCATGAGCCTCCCTGCCACAGCTGACAGGACGGACAGACAGACAGACCCCAAACCAGCCTTGGATACAGGAGCAGCACCCCAGAATTCCACCAGCCATACACACAGGTTCACCAGGGTGCTTGAAACCAGTCAAGCAGTTTATTTTTGTTTCTTAAAAAAAAAAAAAAAGAAAAGAAAAAAAAAAAAACAACCCCAAACCCAGCAAATAAAAAAAAAATCCATCCCTTAAAGGTGAAGGTATAGACAGGGCATGGACACAGCTACATCTACCTTCTGCTGCCCCCCACCCACCCACAGTAATGGAGATTTATACACATTACATAATATAGAGACACATGGACAGACAAATGGGCTTTGGGAGCCTGGCAGGAGCTGGGCACTGCAGGGCTGATGCCCACCCGGGATGTGCCCAGCCTGCTCTGTCCCCAGATCCCAGCTCCTGGGCCCCAAGCCATGGCACAGCCCCTGCTCTCAAAGGCTGGGCTGTGCCTGGTGGGGGGCTGCCCCCGAGTCTGGGCTGCTTCTGGCCACCCTCCTCCTCCTCACGAGGTAGGCAGGGAGGTCCAGGGAGGAGAGGCAGCCTGGCCTGGGGCACAGGTGGCTGCAGGAGCAGGGGCACAAAGCAGAGCGGGGACAAAGCCCTGCCAGCCCAGCAGCTCCTGGCACCTTCCCCACAGGAACCTGGGCAGGCAGGAGAGTGGAAAAGGGGTAAGGCTGCAGGTGTGGGCACCTCCTGAGGGGGATCCCACCAGGGCACTCCCTCCTGGAAGCTCTTTGGGAAGAAGGGAGCGCTCCTGCCCCATGCTCAGCGAGCCAATACAGTACTTGTGTCAGGAAAATGGAGCACGACCAGTTCTGAGGCTCAGGCTGGGAGGGGAGAGGGAACAGCCTCCTTCAGAGGCCAGACCACACAAATAGCACAGCCCTCTCTGAGGAGAGCCAGGGCACAGAGGTCTCTGAGACAGAGCTGAGATGAAAAGGCCATTCAGCAAAGGCAGAGCAAGGACACGGTGCCTGGGAAAAGGACACACGGCCCTTCCACCCTGTGTCAAGAGCAGGGATACAGGTCCAGCCCTTCCACATACTGTGGGAGCTGGATTTGGCTGTGGAACAGCTCTGCTTTAACTCATCCTGTCCCCACTCCTTTCCAAAGCACAAGGGATTGAGTGGAGCCAGGCAGAGCCAAGGCAGAGCTGTCCCAACCCACCCAGGAGCACATCAACACCTCCCCATGTGCCAGCAAGGAGCTTTGTTATTGCACTGCCTTGCAAATGTGGTTTTGCAAAATGCTTTTTGCCAGCTCAGGTGAGTCAGCCCATCAGGGGCTGATGTGCCACCGGAGGAAACCGCAGGTGGGAGGGAGAGGAATCAGCCACACACCGGGGTGAGTGAATTCCCATGGCTAAAAATCAATTTTGGGGCTTCTGGATATGAGGATGGTCAGGATTTCTCTATCAGATCAAACTGCCCCACTGCCCTCCCAGAATGATCCTGGGACTACTGTTTTTTCTGTATGCAAACAGAAGGATCTTCACATTCCCAGGGTGGAAAATATGGACAGAGAAGGAAGTGAGCATCTGGGGGAGTGGAGAACGCTCCTTCAATTCAGCCAGCCTCAAATTAGAGGGAAAACTGTCATTATTTTCAGCAGCAAAACAATGTGGCTGCATTGCTCACACTTGCAATTAGACCAGAGAGGGCAACAGGGCTTGGTCAACACCAAACCTGACCCTGCCTTGGCAGGGATGCTGGACTGGATGATCTCCAGAGGTCCCTTCCAGCCCCAACAATTCTGTGACTCTGTGAAACCCACAGACATCTGGGTTTAAAGCTCTTCTGGAGAGAAATGTGGCCCTGAAGCTGCAAATAGCCAAGGACAGAAAGGAAGAAAGCAGCACTGGGGAGCAACAGCTCATCCTCCTGCTGGGATAAGCAGCACTGAGGGCAAGGCAGGGATGTCAGCATGGAAAAAGCCCAGGCTCTGCTTGCCCAGAAACCCCTCCAAGCCAACCTGGCCCACAGGGTGAAATGCAAGAACCTGGAGGACAGGTAGGAGGGGTGACAAACAAGGCAGGCAGCCCCTGAGCACCAGACACACCTCAGAACTGGTGGTGATGAGGAGCTGAGCTCCCACATTCTGGATTGCACTTGATAAATCAGCACCGAGGGAAGGACCCAGCTCCCGGCTGCTGCCCGCCAGCCCGGGGAGCTCAGTGGGTCCTGGAAGGGGTGGTCCCCTCCGAGTCCAACAGGCAGGGCAGTCTGTGTGGGGAGGAGAGCAAAGCATTCCCTTTTCCAGGGGTTTTGGGGTCGTTCTGGTCCTCTGTGCCTTGCATAGAATTCCTCAGCTCCGGAAGCAAAACCCCTCTGATGTTTGGTTGCAGTACTGCAGGGGAGAAGCCTGAGAGCTGTCCTGGAGCAGCACAGCAGGACCTGGTAAATGAGGGTGTATTTTTCCCTATTTTTTTCCATCAGGAGGATGTTGAAGTTAACACTTGTCATCGTAGAGCAGGGAAGGACCAAGGGATGATCCCCGTGCAGGGGGAGCGTGGCACAGCCCTCAACCAAAGACAGAGCTACAGGAACCTGTTCTCAGCAATCATTTCCTCCTTTTTGCCACATTCCTCGTGGCTCTGCTACACCCCTGGACTAAGCAACATGACCTGCAACTCTTGGCTGCGACCCTGAGCTTCAGGGAAAGGCAAATCCTTCTGTCATCTCCTGCATTGGTACCATTCCACCTGGCTGCTGCTGGATCTCTCTCCAGTTCACCACAGAGGTGGCAGAACGTCACTCAAGGTCCATCTCCCCAGCACAGAGAACCACGGAAGCCAAGTCCTTTGGGGAATGTGAGGAGGAGGATGGGTACAGGGAGCACAGGGGTGAGGAGGGGAGGCTGAGCTGCTTCCTCCAGCTGCTGCCAAGGGGCTCCAGCTGGGAAGCGTGGCATCTCAAATTATTATCTTCTCTTTTAAAGCCAGCCTTACAGAAAACTATAAATTAATCTGCTCATTAAATACTCAGGTGAGAGACCAGGGAGCCTCCAGCCATGGAGCAGCTACGGCTTCTTCCGCAGGTAATTGGAAGGGATCCAGCCCTCCCAGCAGGGCCCCCCAGCCAGGACCCTGCAGAACCACCAGCCACTGCTGTTCTTCTCACGAACTTCAAACAAAGTCCCTTCTCTGAAGCTGTTGGTCTCCTCGTCACCTTCAAAATCTGCCACTGCCACGTACAGAGCTTCCCTGGAGACGTCGGGCCCAGACATGGCAGCTGAGGGCCTCTCCTTGGCCTCCCCTCTTTCCACGGGCTTGGAGATGACCTTTGGGTTGATTCTGGCTTTGGCTTCGTCCGGCATGCAGGCAGCGAGGAAGGGCTTGGCTTTGGGAGGGACCAGCATGGGCCTGCCTGGCACTGCTGAGGGCCTGGCCTCGGGGGCTTCCCGCGCCGGGGCCCTGGGCTCGGCGGCCATGGCAGCAGGAGCCCCCATCTTCTTGGGAGGGGGTGGCCTGCGAGGGGGCACCACGGGGCGCTGAGGGGCGTCCCGGACACAGGGGGGGCTCACTGGGCCCAGGGGAGATTTGGGCAGTGCCTCTTTGGGGGCAATGTCCAGCTTGGGAAGGGCTTTGCTCTCCGTGCCTGGCCGCTCTGGAAAGCGCCCGCAAGGCTCTGAGGAGAGCGCGGCGTTGCTGAAGGAGCTTTCCCCAGCCATGGGGTCCTGCTCTGAGGGCTTCTCTGGGCACTTGGCAGGTCTCAGCTTGCTCCGCAGGCTGCAAATGTCCAGTCTGTCATCGGCTGGGGGTGCCTCAGGCCGGGGGGACGCGGCGGGTTTCGGCCTGATCTGAGGTCTTGACTTCAAGAAGGGGTTCTGGGTGATGGGCTCAGGTTTGTCTTCCATGGGCTCAGCTTTTGGCTTGGTTGGCTTGACAATGGGCCGGAGGTTTGGCTTCTTCACCTCCTTGGCCGACACCTTGTGTCCACACTCCAGCCCCATTTCGTTCTTCAGCTGGAAGAGTTTGCCCTTCTCCGCTTTGAGCTCCGGCTTCTTGCTGTCCTTCGGGGCTGCCGACTGCTTGGGTGGGATCATGGGCAAAATCATGCCTGGGGGCTTGGGGGGAGGCCTCTGCCTCTCTAGTAACTCTCCTTCTGATTTGATGATGGACTCCTTCCTGGGTGGGAGGCTGGGCTTCTCCTCTGTGTCACGGTCTGAGATCTCCTCGTAGCCCCCGGCGAAGGACAAGTCCCCGCTGTCAGGAGCCTCCTTCCCCTTCCAGTCCTTGCCCCACCTCCCAGTGCAGTCCATGCCGTTGGGAGGAGCCTCTGGCAGGGGTCGGCAGGGCCCTGTCACCTCCTCGCTGGCGCTGCCGCCATCGGTGTCACCGAGCCGCAGCTGCGCCATCTCGTTGGGGAGGGGAGCCAGGAAATTGGGCCTGGAGGCGTTGCTGGTTTTCTTGTACTTGTCAATGAAGGTGGCAGGGGCCCAGCCCTCCTTCTCCTCGATCTGGATGTACCACCAGCCACTCAGGTTCTTCTCAATAACCTGCCAGGGGGGAAAGGAGACCTCAGACAGCCACTCTGCGCTCAGGGGTTGCAGAAATGATGGCAGGGTGACACATGGCCTTGTGCTGCTCCAGTCAAAAGCCTTGGAATCCCAGCAGTGGCATCCTAAGGGGAGGGACACCTGGTCCTGGCCGCCAGGGAAGGAAGAGGGCTGAAGAAGAGCTGCTGAGCTGTCTCTGTCCCTCATCCATCCCGGAGAGGGATGCTGGGTGCTGGCCACAGCGTGGCACTGTTGGAGCAATGAAGCAGCAGCAGCAGCGATCCCGTGTGGATCCCACCCTGCCCAGCCTGTCTGCAGCTCCAGGAGTGGGGCTGGGGCCTGGCAGGGGCTGAGTGGGGCAGCCCTGAAGAAAAAATCCTCTAGAGAGGCGTAAATCACATCTGGACACGGAGAAAGCAAAATCCCATCTGCAGGAGGGGTTCTGCCAGCAAAGAGGGTGTGCCAGGAATCTGGAAGGGCTTTTAACTTTACACCTGGCCTAACTAAGAGGAAAAACTCCATCTCCAATGCCATTCGTGGTGTGGGTTTATTTTCCATTTGCTCAAACAGAGCACTCACACTTGGGGGACAGGAGGCCACCAAGAACGGTGTGGGGCCAGAGTCCCTTGAGCTCCTACAGGTTTTTGTGCCACTCTCAGAGTCTGGAATGCTAACAGAGACAAAAGCATGCCTGGTTTGCACCCAGAGCACCATGGGGAGCAGCTCTCCCTGGCCTGGAAGGGGAGCCCTGCCCAAAAGGTGCCAGGGCAATGGCAGCCAAGCAATGCCCTAAAGTGACAGTGATAGAGTGTGAAGGGAAGGTGACAGTCTCACCTCTACTTTCATCCCTGCCTGGAAGCTGATGCCATCAGGGATGGTGGTCTGGAAGTCAGCAATGGTGTAATATTCCTCTTCCACTTGAGGGGGGACAGGAGGCTTAGGCAGGTTCAGACCACGGGGCTGGGACAGGAAAACAGAAAAGTCATCAGTGTGTTTGTACAGCAGGTGTGACACCACATCCAGGCACGGGGACAAGATCCCAACCAGCCACCAGAGCTCCTTGCAGTGCTCCCCTGTGCCACTGCTGCCCTCCCACACCAGCTGGCACTTACTATGGTGAGGTCTCGGCGAGGAGGTGGCCTCTGCCTCATCTTTGGTGACTCTGTGGAGGAAGAATTCCAGATGCTGTTGAGTTTCTGGTTTTTAAGCACGTGTTCATGAAAGACAAGTGAGAGACAGAACAGAAAGGCAAGGACTAAACCTGTCCTAGGGAAAGGAACCTGAAGGAGGAACCCATCAGCCCAGAACCCATCAGCCCAGAACCCTGAGTGGCACAGGTCCCCCAGGTCTCAAGGGTATCCCAGCTTTCAGGTTCTCCTGGGAAATGCAGCTGAGGTGACCATGTGAAATTACTTTTGCATTGCAGGACTGACCCAGAGGACCTGGCCTGCAGAGGGGTTAAGATCACAGAATCCCAGAATCATGGAATTGCCTGGGTTTGAAAAGACCTCAAAGCCCATCCCATTCCACCTCCTGTCATGGGCAGGGACACCTTTCATTATCCCTGTCCAGCCTGGCCTTGGGCACTGCCAGGGATCAGAGGCAGCCACAGCTGCTCTGGGCACCCTGTGCCAGACCCTCACCACCCTGACAGGGAAGGATTTATTCCCAATATCCCATCTAAACCTGCTCTCTGCCAGTTTGAAGACATTCTCCCTTGTCCTGTAAAACATCCTCTCAATTTTCCTGGCAGGCTCCCTTTAGGTGCCCCAGTTTCTGAGAGGAGAACATCTCCAGCTGATCCCGGAGCCTGGGAGAGGATCCCCAGCCTGGGAGGGAAGAGCTGTTTGGAGCCCATCTGAGGCTGTGTTTGAGCCCACCTGAGGCCATGTTTGGAGCCCACTCAAGGCCATGTTGGAGCCCACTTGAGGCCATGTTTGGAGCCCACCTGAGGCCATGTTTGAGCCCACCTGAGGCCATGTTTGGAGTCCACCTGAAGCTGTGTTTCAAGCCCACTCAAGGCCATGTTTGGAGCCCACCTGAGGCCATGTTTGGAGCCCACTCAAGGCCATGTCTGGAGCCCACCTGAGGCCGTGTTTGGAGCCCACCTGAGGCCATGTTTGAGCCCACTCAAGGCCATGTTTGGAGCCCACCTGAGGCCATGTTTGAGCCCACTCAAGGCCGTGTTGGAGCCCACCTGAGGCCATGTTGGCCCCACCTGCCCTGCCCAGCACTCACTGCGGCGGATGTCGGCGCTGGGCAGGGCCCGGCTCTCCAGCCTGCTGTCCCTCTGGCCCCCCAGCCCGTCCTTGTCCCTGCTGGCCAGCAGCTGCTGCCTGGAGATGCCATCCAGATCCAGGGCACCGGAGTGAGCCGGGGAGCCCGAGCCCAGCTTGGGTGGGAACCCATCTCCATTGCCCTTCCTGAGGTAGGAGGCAGGGGCCCAGCCCTCCTGGCCCTGGTACCTGTGGGGACAAGGACAGCAGGGTCACTGCACAGAGCCCCTGGGACACGCCGAGGACGTGAGCCCAGAGCTCAGCACACACCTTGGCAGCTCTGGGCAACAGGAGCTTGCCAGGCTCTCCATGGCACCAGCAGAGCTCCCTCATGGCTAATGCTCCCACACAAGCTGGCCCCAGCCAGGGCCAAGCAATGGGAGTGCTGTGAAGCCCAGTTTTCACCTCAGCAATGGCACCAGTTCAGGAGTGAAGAGCTCTGGCAGGGAAAGCAGAGGGAAAAACACGAGGGCTGCTGCTAGGATTGATGTACCTGGTCTTTGGAGAGAGCACAAGCCCTCTCCCTGCTGGCAGCCTGGATCCCTTCCCTGCTCTAAATCTGTTTAGGAGAGAAACCAGCCCTGTGACCTGACTGCAAACCACATGCACAGTGCCCCTGCCATGCCAGACCCTCCCTGCTGGCTGGGCTGCAGCCACCTCGTTCAGATAGCACCAACTACCGAGTCTGTAATTGCCTTTCGAGCTCCTGTGGCAGCTCTCCTGTGCCTCACACGTCAGTGGATGTGTTTCTGGGGCTGTGCTGCTGCCAGGAGCACAGGTTCAGTGTGAGGTTATGAAAATTGCAGTGAGTCCTCCCACCCTGAGCAAGCCTGGCCGTTTGCTCCACCACAGAGAAGAGAAAATGAGCTTCCAGCAGAAAACAAACCTCAGCTGGGGATGGGCTGGAGCCTCTGGCACACAGCAGAGCTGGCCCAGGCCTGGCCATTCCCTGCAGGAACCTCCAACAGAGCCAGGGGATGCAGCCAGCCCTGGGACATCCCTGGGTTTCCCCATCAGCAGGATGTGACACCCACTAAAGCTCTGCTGGGGGACACAGCCACCTCCCAGCACAGGAAATCTGGGCAGTTCAAAGATTTTCAGCCAAAGCTGTGCTTGAACATCAAATCTGTCAGGGTGGAGGGAAATGAGTTCTGGAACTCTGCCCTCCCTGGCTCACAGACTTGCCTTGGCAATGGACATCCCACAGCCCCAGCTGCAGTGCCTGGGACAGTACCTGATTTTCCACCAGCCCTCCAGGTTCTTCTGGGTCACCACCACCACGGCCCCTTTGTCCAGGTTCATCTCATCCTGGTCTCTTGCAGTGTAGGGGTAAATCACTGTGTACTTCTCCTCTGGTGGAAAGAAAGAGCAGCTTCACTGAGGAGCTGTTTGATGGGAACCTGGCCTCAGCTGACAAATGGCTATGAAGTGCTTTATAAAATGATAATTCTTGTAATTTAGGTGCAAACATACAGAGATACACGACCACTCAAAGGGAAATGACAGTGAAATGTATTTGGAAATGTAAACCTTGGTGAGCTGCTCTGGCCCAAGAAGTTCTCTGAAACAGTTTCTCCTCTCCCTTAGGACTAAAGACTTTTCACAACTCATCACAGAAGCTCTCCCATGCATTCATTTCAGCTCAAATTTTGTTCTCAGAGTCTTTAAAGAGAAACCATCCTCTGAAAGGGGAGAGAAATCCCACAGGCCTGAGGAGACAACCCCATTGACACAGAGGTGCCCTCAAACTGCTCCAGAGCAGCAGATCTGCAGGAACATCACCATTTAACCCCCAGGACATTGGTCACAGCCATGTGGGGAGCCTGGAGAAGAACCTGAAATCATGTCCACCAGAACAAAGGATGTTAAGCAGGAATGTGAATGTTCTTCCCTTCAGGAGGAAGGAGAAACATCCTAAAAGCCATGCAGCCATGTCAGACAAATGGGTCCATCCATCCTTCCCCCTCCCTCAGCTTCCTCTCTGGAAGAAACACAGGGACACAATTGCCTGTGCTTACACAGTGCCTTCACAACAGGGTGAACACAATTTGGGGAAAAATCTGCCTCCAAAATTCACCCCTCTGACATCCCTACATCCCCACCATGCAGGTTTCCTGGATGTGTCTTCTGGAAGTGGCACAGCTCTGGAAGGGCCTGATTTTCCACCCCCTTCATGCAGAGGAGACCAAGCAGAGCATGTCCTGTCACATCCAGCAGGACCTTCTCCTCCTGACCCCACCCTGAGGCACCAACCCAGGTTACTGCAGGAACTGAGGCAGCAGCTGGGAGAATTCTGCACATGTGTGCTGGGGGAAAGCAGGACCTGCAATTTCTGAGCCCAAAACATGAGAAGGAAGAGCTGAGAGAGGAGAGGCACACGCACAAGGGAAGGGAAGGCTGAGGAGCAGGGGTGGGCATGCACAACAAACCAACATGCACACAAGGCTCCAAGCACAACACAGGGGCAGCCAAGAAAGTCTCTGTGTGCTCCACCTTGAGCCCATCCAGGGGTGTACAAGTCCCCGAGGGTCCGGCGGCGGCCAAGGTGCCTGGGCAGAGACCAGTACCTCCATGGCACTGGGAGCAGCACGGGGAGAGCAGGAGAAGGACAAGAGAGGACGTGAGGAGGTGGCACTTCATGTCCAGGAGGAGACAGGGCTGCCACAGAGACTCTGCTGGCCTGGAGCCCTCCCCAGGCTGAGCCCCCCAGACGAGGGGCTGGGCCAGCTCTGCTCTGCCCTGGGCACACAGAGGCACTGGCAAGGATTTGTTATCCAGGGACACCTGGGATCTGCTCCAAGGACAGGCTGGAGCCTTGCCTTTCCCACACTGGGAGCTCTTTGTCCTGCACATGCACTGTCCAAGGACCTGGGCTTTGCTCCTCCTCCAGGGCAGGTGAAATAGCCCCCTGAATAAAGGGAGACTGGGGTGAGCATTGGCACCTCTGTGGAGGAGCAGAGAGGCCAGTGGATGCACCACCAGTGTCCAGCTGCTCCAGTCCTGCTGCAGGACCATTCCTGGGGTTTTGTCCCTTTTCCCAGGTTTTGTTCCTGGGTTTTGCCTCCCCCAGGCTCAGGGAGGGTGAAGCAGTGCCTCCAGCAGAGGAAGCTGGGGCAGATGCCTCCAGCAGCTTCTTACCTTCATCAGGCTGCATTGAGAACTCATCCTGGACTCCATCCTGGGCCTCCAGGCAGGTGGCTGGCACCCAGCCTTGCTCCTCCAGCGTGCTCACAAACCACCAGCCTGAGGAGAAAACAGCAGGAGGCTCAGCCAAGGGCTCACACCAGCCAAAAACTCCCTCCCTCCCTCCAAACCACGTGCCTGGGGGGCTGTGACCCCTTTCTTGCATCTCCATGGGAAGCTGGGGTGACCCCAAAGCAACAGAGCCAAGCACAAGAGAACTGCAGCTGAGTGACATCTAAAAGTACAATTCCCTCCCCAGGAAAACCAGGAGAGGCTCTGAGAGCTGAATGGCTCCAGCCACTGCATTTGCTTTTGGTTTTTTCTGCCCCTTCATGGTTCATTCTCCCTCAGTGTGGGTCAGCAAGCCTGGGCTAATTAGCAGAGATGAATACCCTGTGTGTGAATCGATGGCTGAGCCCTGCTGCGCTCGCCTTCTCTGCATTTGTGGAAACAGCAGAACTGAAAAGCCACAAGCAAATGCAGGATTTAAAACATCAGCTCTCCCAGTGGAAGCCCAGCCAGCTCCAGAGAGACCACAAGCAATTCTGGGCCCCCCTGTGTGTCCAATCAAACCAACGCTTGCTGCTCGTTATTAAAAGCACAATTTGTGTCTTTAGGGGGGGGAAATAAAGATTGAGTGTCACCCTCAGAACCCCCCCAGTGAGTCATTTAGAAAGACAACCACATTGTCAGGGAGGGAATCAGCTACCTGCATGGGAGGGAAAAGCAGGGCTGACCTTCGATAAATAAATGATTTTCCACAGCTTTTGAGCTGGCTGTGCTAAGCGTTTCATTTGCTTCAGGGTTGCTTTTATTTCTCTCGTTCTCAAACAGAGCTGCTGGTGCAACTGATCCTCTGGCAAGCAGCTCTCCAGAGCTGCTAAAATCTATTTTCATTTAACTCCCCCCAACAAGCAACATCTGTAAGCTTCAGGGAATAAATTCTCCATGCCATGGCTCAGGCCCTTTGCAGGGAATAAATTCTCCATGCCATGGCTCAGTCCCTGTGCAGAGGTTAAGAGCGAGTTGAAGTTTGGAAGCAAGCGAAGAGCTCGGCTGCTGCCCACAGGAATTGTGAATACACCAAGGGGCCTTTCATGGCCACCACGAGAGTGTCCCCCTCTGTCACTCACTAAACCCAGCCTGCCAAGCCCAGGCATGGCTTTTGTCCTCAGCACACTTCAGCCAAGTTTTCCAGCTCCAAGAAGCACCAAGACTGAGGAAGGGGGACGGCACCGGGGAAATCAGCCCTGAGAGAGAGCCCTGCAGGCTCATCCACACTGACAGAGCAGAGCTGCTTCCTGCACACCCCACCTCAGCATGCCTGGGGGCTGTTCTGCCTCAGGAGAACACTGACAGCCCAGGACTGCTCCTGTGCAGCCCCAGCAGCCTGCGCAGAGCCCAGCTCCCTGTACCTGATTCATTCTTCTCAATGATATCCACCACCTGGCCCACGCACAGGCTGATCTCCGAGCTCTCCTGCTTCTGGTAGTCGGCCACCACGACATACTGCTCCAGCACCAGGGGCTCGGCCGAGGCACAGTCAGCTCCTGCACAGGGAAGGGGACAAAACCGACCCGTGTGCCAGGTCAGCACTGTCCCCAGGGCACGGCCACCGCCACCCAGCAGCTCCAGGACACCCTGGGGACCCGGCGTGAGAGGGGGGAGCCAGAGCTTTGGGCAGAGTGAGGGGGACAGAGATCAAACCAGCAGCCAGGTGAGGTGGGGACAGCCAGGTGAGACCTGCTGCAGCCCACCAGAGCCATCCAAGCAACCTCCACCAGCACAGGAGCTCACGGCAGCCTGGATCTCCCTGGGGTTTTGGTGACTCCCCTGAGCACATTGGCTGCCCCAGACACAGAGCCTGCAGCGGGTTCTGCTGGGCTGAGGAGCCCCAGAGCCCCAGATGGGAAGGGTTTGTAGGATGGAGGTGTTTGTAGGACAGGGCACATCCCCTGAACTCCCAGCCCCGCTGTGCTCAGCCCCTCGGTCTGCTCTGCTCCCTGCCCAGCTGCACATCCCGGTGTCCTGGCAAAAAAATGGGGGAAAATACCCCGAGGAGGAGCAGAGGGGGCAGAACACGGCGGGAACAAAGCGATGCTGTGGCGAGCAAGAGGAGAGCCGGGGAACGGAGCTGGACCGGCGGCAGGGGGCACTGCGGGATAAGCCGGGATAACGTGGGATAACCGGGACAGCAGGAGAACTGTGGGACAGCCGGGACACCGGGATAACCATGGGATAACCATGGGATAACCGGGACAGCGGGAGAACTGTGGGACAGCCGGGACACCGGGATAACCATGGGATAACCATGGGATAACCTGGACAGCGGGAGAACTGTGGGACAGCCGGGACAGCGGGATAACCATGGGATAACCATGGGATAACCATGGGATAACCGGGACACCGGGATAACCATGGGATAACCAGGACACCGGGATAACCATGGGATAACCATGGGATAACCGGGACACCAGGATAACCATGGGATAACCGGGACAGCGGGAGAACTGTGGGATCACCGGGACAGCAGGATAACCATGGGATAACCGGGACAGCGGGAGCACTGTAGGATCACCGGGACACCGGGATAACCATGGGGTAACCGGGACACCAGGATAACCATGGGATAACCGGGACAACCATGGGATCACCGGGACACCAGGAGCAGAGTAGGATCACTGGGACAACTGTGGGATAAGCCAGGATAACCATGGAATAACTGAGACACTGGGAGAACTGTGGGACAACCAGGACACCGGGAGAACTGTGGGATAACTGAGACATTGGGGGAATTGTGGGACAAACCAGGATAACTGGGGGATAACCAGGACACTGGGAGAACTGTGGGATAAAACTGGGATAATGGGAGAACTGCAGGACAACCGGGACGCCGGGATAATAACATGGGATAACCGGAACACCGGGAGCACTATAGGATCACCGGGACACCGGGAGCAGGGCAGATAGGACGGGACACCAGGAGCACTGTGGGATCACCAGGAGCACTGTGGGATCACTGGGAGCACTGTGGGATCACCGGCAGCACTGTAGGATAGGGCAGGACACCGGGATGTCCCACACACGTCCCGGACACTCAGGTCACACGGAGCACTGCCAGCCCTGCTGTCACCGGAGGGGAGCAAGGCCAGCCTGGTGCCCAGTTTGTGCTTTCAGCACCATTTCATTTAGGGCAGAGTCTGGATATGCATCCCCCCAGCCTGGCACAACTCCCCACTCACACCTGCCACCACCCCACAAACATGAGTGTCCCCCACACAGAGCACAGCTGCCCTTTGCCCATGGAGCACCAGGGCTTGGCAGGAGACTGCCAGTGCCCAGTGCCCAGCTGGGCATTCCCGCACCTACATCCCCCATGAAACAGGCACGGGGCACTCAGGTACCCAGAGCACCACAGCACTTCCCTGTCTGCCTCCAAAAACCTCCAAAAAGCACAAAAGTCTCAACAAAACCTCATCCATGACTCCCCTGCACCGGGATAAGAAAAGGTAAAGGTACAGGCAAGGATCATGGCACAGTTTTACAGCCCCTGATGGGATGAAGAGAAGGGAACCCCAGGAGCAAAGGGAAGGGGGAGGCCACCAGGACAGTGACAGGAAAGGAATGATTGTGCCATTTGTGAAAAAGACCTTTAGAAAGGGATTGTTAGGGGTGTCAGGATCTGCTGTTGTACCTGGAGCTCCTGCTGGACCCAGAATTGTGTTTCCTAGCAGACACTTCTCTGTCTGATTTGAATTTTATGCCAAGGGGAGAACAGTTGCTCAAATGCTCTTTTGCTAAGGGGGAAAGATGAGCAGGTGCATTTTATTCAACCACTATTGGTCAATGTTGTGTGAGGTCATTGGAGGCCCTGGTGTGGGTTCCTTGAGGTCATTTGGGATTACTAGAGGTCATTGGAGTCCCCGGTAGGCATTGTTTTAGTTCAGCTGGGGTTACTGGAGGTCATTAGAGTATTTTTAAATTGATCCGGGGGTTACTTGAGGTCACAGGGGTTACTTGAGGTCATTGGAGTATTTTTTAATTGATCTTTTGAATTGATCTCTAATGCCCCAGAGATCTGGACTTCCCAATGGAAGAGAAGGATGGGAGACCTTGGCTATCAGGATCCATCTACAAAGATTACTGGGCTAATATGAACTCTCCTTGTCTACTTTATTCTCTGTTTTTACCTGCCACACCTGGTGCAGAGACCTGGAAAAGTCAGGAGGGGGTGTTTCAAATGTTCCAGGTGGTTAAAAAGTAGAGTTTGTAAAGACAAATTGAGAGGTATGAGGAGGGGTTGAGAGGAAAGATGTGTGCTAAGGTGCCATCCTCATCCTGAAGGACAGGATCTAGCAGGTCCTCAGGACTGCCAGGATGTTCTGCTGCCTCCTGGAGAAGTTCTCCTGTTCACAACCTCTCCCAGCTGCTCCTGAGAATGCCAGACCACAACCAAGGCTGCAATGAAGCACGTGTCTGCAGGGCAGTGTTATTTCAAGGAAAAGGAAGGAAATGGTCTGTGCCCATAAACAGCACCCTGCAGAGCTCCAGGTGAGCTGGCCAGTGCAGAGGATCTGTTCCTGCCCAGGAAAGCTTCCTCCACACCAAAACCCAAAGGTGGGGCAGCAGACAGAGCTCAAAATAGCCCTCGAAGTGAATGGGGGATGCTGGGACTATCTCTTCTAGCAGCTCAATTAAAGGTTTGTGCTTAAAGGGATCTGAGGATCTACCCAGCCCCTGAGAGAAAAATAACAACTGCAGGAAGAGATAAGTACTCCCCTTTCTGCCTCCCTCCTGTAATTACACCCGTGCCTCCGAGGCTATTTGCAGTTTCAGCAGCCAATTCTGGATCCTCCAACGTGCCCATTAAACCAGAAGAGAAGTGGTAAACCGAGCTTGGAGGAAGAGGTAGGCGTTAATTTCGGGAGCATTTCACCTGCCCTAATCATCCTCAACCACAAAAACACACCCTGGAGGGAGCAAAGCATCCTGAGCACAGCCAGACCTGGGTTCCTCAAAATAGCACCAGTGTAAAGCTGCCCAGGGAGCTGGGAGACAGCACCAAAGCTCTGAGCTGGGGAGGGGAGGAGGAACCCCCAGAGAGGGGTGTGCAGGCAGCTCAGGCAGGAGCTGGGCATCCTCAGCTGGGACAATGACATAAATGTGGCCTAGAGAAGGGGAATCCACTGAGCCAAGGGACCACTGAGGCCTTGGGCTGGGCTGGCAGAAGTGATGCTCACCCTGGAGGCAGGAGGGGCTCTCAGCACATCCCAGAGCTGACCCAGGGCTGCCCACAGCAGTGACCTCACCCTCAGCCAGCACAAAAATCCTTGCAGGTTTTGTTTGGCCAGAAACTTGGCCTTTCACCCAAGGGTTGAGATGTACCAACCCAGCAGGAAATCTCACAGATATGGGGGTGCTTGTGATTCCTTTCCTTTCCTTTCCTTTCCTTTCCTTTCCTTTCCTTTCCTTTCCTTTCCTTTCCTTTCCTTTCCTTTCCTTTCCTTTCCTTTCCTTTCCTTTCCTTTCCTTTCCTTTCCTTTCCTTTCCTTTTTCCTTTCCTTTTTCCTTTCCTTTCCTTTCCCTCGTGCCAAAAGTGAGGAACTCCTGACAGAGCTTGGCCACTGGTGCTCCCAGAGGGAAACAAAGAGCTCAGCACTGAATTAGGGGCACAGGTATTTGGGTTTGAAGGCTGTTGTACACTCCAGCCTTGGCCTAATGCATCTCCCAACAATGTCATTGTTTGGATGAAGTCCCTTCCTCCCCTGCCTGTGTGGGTCAGATCAGAGCAGCCCCTCTTCTCCCAGCCCTGAGGGGTTTGGGATGATCAGCACTGCAAGGGGGATGGGCCTTCCTCCTGCTCTCACTGAAATGGGCCCTGAAGGCTCTGCTGAATTCTTTGCAAACCCTCTCATCTCCCCAGGGATTCTTCCAGAATGTGGAAAACAATCACATGGAAATACCATCCAGCAGTGGGGCTTGGGCAGCTCCCCTGAGGCTCCTTCCCTGCCTCTCCTCAGCCCAAACACTGCAGGGACATTCCCCAGCACAGCAAAAGGGACGTGGGCACAAAAAAAGCAGCAAAAACCGAAGTGGCAAAGGGGCATTTGAGGTCTCTGCCAGCCTCCTTGGGCAGCTCCAGCCAAATATAAACTCTGGAGGCAGTTTCAGGCTCGCCTGCACCAAGCCATGCTCTCCATCTGTGCTTTCTGTGAGAGGCAGAGAGAACAGAAACGCTCCAACAATCAGGGGACTGATGGCATGGCTGCTTTTAGACAAACCTAAATCAGGGGCCAAGGCAGAGCCCCAAAGTCTGGGATAATCCACCCCCTGCAAGCTGTGCAGAGCCCACGCCTCAGGCTCAGCCAGGCGGGATTCCAAGTGCTGTACAAAAAGCTGAGCAAAGAAAGCAGATTTGATTTCCAGTGCTCACACACACCAGGCCCTCCTCGAAACTCCAAGTGTCCTCTGAGTCTCGTGGTCACCACAGGAGCAGCACTTTAACCCACTCTGCATCCCAGTGTTTGCTCAAATCCCATTTCCAAACCCAGCCTGCAGTGCCAGCACCTCAGAGCTCTTCCCAGCACTACTCAAGAGCAGCTCACCCCCCCTCAGGCAATTGGGAAATTGCCTTTTGGACAATCCTCGTGATTGTTGTTTGTTAGCAGCTGTTGGATGACCCCTCCTCAGGGACACCCTGGATTGAAGGAGTGTTTTTTGTGCCTTGCTGCACATTTGCTACCTCAAAGCAGGCCTGGCCTGAAGACCCAATGAGCCACCAGGGATTTCCTCAAGGTGTAGAAGGAGTTGGGGTGACAGCAGCTGAACCAAATTCTGTTTCTGCTGCCAGGAAATGCAAGGCAGTGAGATGAATCTGAACATGTCTGGCACGAGGCATCAACCCTGTGTAAGGTTACTGAGAGCAAACACCTTTCCCTGCTGGCTGCTGCCAGGGCCAGAACAGCACATCCTGCCCTGCCAGAGCTTGGATGTTATCCAAACTCTTCCTTCTCAGTGCAGAACTCCTGCTCCTCTAACAGGCAGCGCCCTTAAATTGAATTTTGCCCTCATTGAACTGAGTTATGCAGCAGAAATGTTCTTCCTCTTCTCAACCCTAGAGAGGCCTCTCCTTCTCTTGTCCCCAGCACTCCAGAACAGAGCCAGGCTGTGCTGGCAAATGGCTCATGAGGGTTTAAAATGTCCATCCCAATGTCTTGCTTGGACAGAGAGCAGTCAGAGATTGAGCAGAAAATGCTGTCAAAGGTTTGAACAGGTTAAAACCCTGTGAGCCCCACAGGAGAGCACTCAGCCCATGAGAACAGAAACCCAGGAGCCCCAACCACACCAGAGCTTCCCACCTGCATCCTACTGTCACAGACACATTTTATGAAAACTCCTTTTGCTAGGATTTTCCTCCTGAGAAGCTGAGAGGCCTCAGAAATGAAATGTAAACAATAATTACCTGCTGCTGTGGAATGCAACAGGTGCATCTGTGATTGGGCTTCTGTGGTTGTTTCTAATTAATGGCCAATCACAGCCCAGCTGGCTCAGACTCTCTGGTCAGTCACAAGATTTTATTATCATTCCTTTCTATTCCTTGCTAGCCTTCTGATGAATCCTTTCTTCTATTCTTTTAGTACAGTTTTAATATATCATTTTCTTTTAATATAATATATATATGATAAAATAATAAATCAGCCTCCTGAAACATGGAGTCAATATTCTCATCTCTTCCCTTGTCCTGGCACCCCTGCAAACACCACCACATGCTACCCCCAGCCTCAGTGAAAACATCAGCTCCTGAAAGAGCTCCACTGGAAAGGGGAATGGAATCTTTGAGCCCCTCCTGTGCCTGTCCCCCCTCCTGCAAGAGGATCCCACTCACCCACAAGGGGGTTTGCTCACACAGGTGATGGCAGTGCCAGTTCTCTGGCCAAAATCCTTCCCACCACTGATTTCAGCAGGATCTCCATGCAGCCAAAGCTCAGACCTTCCTTCCCAAAGAATTTCACATTATTTTTATACCTTCTGCAGCTCCAGGAGCTGAAAGCTGCCTCCTTAACCCATGGACCAAAGGCTCTTCCACTCCTGTCTCCTGCTCTTTTTGGGAAGCTCAAATAACCCTAAACCACACCAGCAAGGGGGTGTTTCAGAGATGTCCCCCTCCCCTGAGGAGCAAGGGCAGAGCATCCCAGGCCCCAGCACCTTCCCAAGGCTCCCAGCTGGTGCCATGGTGAAGGAGAACATCCAGCTGCACCAGGAGACTCCCAGCCCCACACTGCCCCCAGGCAGCTCAGACATTCCCCTGAACTCCTGAAATATTTCACCCCCAACCTTGCAGACCCTCAGCAGGCCCTGGGGCACATCCCCTGCCCATGGAGCTGCACCAAGAGCCAAGCCCAGCCCCTGTGCCACCACCCCGTGTCCAGCAGCCACCACAGAAAGGCACAGGGGATGGATGTGACAGCTTCTGGCAAGGGTGAGAAGCTTCCTGCCCCCCCAGCTGAGCAGGTGTCCCCCAAGAAAGGCAGAGCAGAGCAGGGCAGGAGCAGCTGTTAGTACCTCTGTGCAGGAAAGAGGCCGTTCTCTGGATAATCCCTGATGAGGAACAAAAGGATGGGAGACAAGGCATGAGGCAGGGAGGGGGTGGACTGGGGTCCAGCAGTGCTCACAGCACCTCCAGGGCAGTGCTGGGAGCTGTGGGCATCTGACCCACCCAGGGTCAGGGGAGATGGGACGGGGGCCATGGGGCTGGGAGCCCCACAGAGCCCCAGGGATATGGGATGGGGGCCATGGGGCTGGGAGCCCCACAGAGCCCCAGGGAGATGGGATGGGGGCCATGGGGTGGGACCTTGCCCCACAGAGCCTCAGGGATATGGGATGGGGGCCATGGGGTGGGACCTTGCCCCACAGCAGGAGAGCTGGCCTGTGGGTGGGAGCAGGAGGTGGTGTAAGCAGCAGCAGAGAGGAAAGGAGTCCTTACCAGACCTCTTCTTCCCAATGGGCTCCCTGAAAGAGAGAAGGAAGAGTGTCAGCAGAGTGAGGGGACAGTTGGGGGCTGGCTGAGTGACAAACCCACCCAGGAGTGCACACAGTGCTGGCCTGGTGGGGCCACTGACCCTCCTCACCCAGCCACTGTCTCCATGGGCATCACCCACCTGCAAACAGCCCCTGCCCCCCTCCTTTCATTTCATAATTCAATGTTTTGTCCTTCCCAGGCTGAGCTTGGCTGCTGGCCTGGCCTTGCAACTTCCACCGAGGCACTTGGTACCCCCTTGGGCACTCATCCATGCAAGTGTCAATAGAATGAAATAAAATGCAGCCAAGATGGAGTGGAAACAAAGAGGACATTGCTACAGAAACTGGAGCCTGTTGAGTTCAGAGACCTGAGCACCACGTCCCAGGTGCAGAGACCAGCAGGGGAATCTGGGACAGAGCATCCCAAAGATTTCCCAACAGAGGCAGCACTGCAGAGCTAAATCAGAGTTAATTAATAATCCCCATTAAATCTGCCCCAGTTCAGAGGTTCCACAGGGAACAGGGAAGGGAGGCAAAGCAAGGCCAGATGAGCAGGCTGGAGACCAGCAGGTGGTGATGGGAATAACTGGAGTTTCTGCCCTGCCTTCTGCTAAACCCATCACTGTAACTCATCCCCTGCTTCCCTTCCCTGGCTGCTCTCTCTGAGTGAGGGGGCAAGGGAGAGGCTGCAATTCCACTCTGCTGCTGGGATGTTCCTGGCAGGGACACAAAGAGCTGCAGGTCTGAAGAGCAGCAGCCCTGGCCCAAGCACCTCAGAGGGGACAGGAGCTCAGACAAGACAGGAAACAGCAATAAACTGCTGGCAGCATCTCCTCCTCCTCCTCCTCCTCAGATCCCCGTGGAGCAGAGCAGGGCAGAGCAGAGCTCACATGCAAAGAGCTCCCTGGAAACTGATGGCTCCAGCAGGAGGGGAGGAAAAACCCCTCTGCCTTCCACTGTAAATCCCATTCAGCCCCAGCCCCCAGCAGCCATGGCACAGTTACAAAGCACCAATGCCCAGCTGGGACAGGGGGACACAAACCAGCGCCACAGAGGTGGAAAACGCCAGGAATGCTTCTCCAGCTGCTTCCCAGAATGCTGAAGGCAAAGGCTGCTGTGTGACTGGAGCCTCACTTAAAGCTCTGAGCCAACACCACAACCTCAGTGGGCTCAGCTCAGTGTCCTTCAAGAACCTCACAATCCCCTGAAAGGAAACTCTGACACATGGAGAACTCAGCACACTCAATAACCCACATGCCACGATTTTTTTAGGAAAAGAGAGTCAAGTTTCTCAAGCATCTTCTCTAGGCAGCATCCCTGAGGATCCAGGGGTGGGAAGGAGTGAGATGGGGAGCACAGAGGTTGAGCAAAGTGAGCAGACTTTAAAAATAAATTAAAAGCAAATACAAAGAGGCTGCTTTTCAACAACCTGTAAGACAACTGTTAAACTACTCAGTGCAGGATGCTGGGGACACTGAAATTCTTCATGGACTTACAGGGTCGTAATTCAGGCAAGAAATGTTAATTAAGAGTCATTAATTCTAAAGCCAGGTCTAAAGAAGAGCTGTTACAGGCTGGCTTGAGTTTATAAACTCTTTCCTAAGGCACATTTGGTGGCTGCTGGGCCAGGCAGGTCCCAGAGCTGCAGGGAGGTGGCCCTGAGGTTGTCACACAGAAAAAGCCACCTTGCAGTGGGACTCACAGGAGAAAAGTGCCCCCAAATGTGGCTTTGGGGACCTCAGCACTGGCCCTGCCGGTGCAATAGGTGAAGGACTGGAGCACCAAGAGAAGGAAAACAACTGCAGCTGCTGCAAACCCACACAGGAGCCACATCAAACAGGACGGATCTGAGGTCAGCATTCCAAGAAAACATCTCCCTCACATAAAAAACAACCTCTCTAGTAAAAAAAAAAATCCTGCTGTAACACAGTAATGGCACCAAAATAGCTGTCAGGAGGGGCTTCATCTCCTGAGCATTCAGCCAGCTTGGAGATGTTTGCAAGATTTATGGAGGCAAGGAACTGGGGACAAGAGAGCCCTTGTTTGGGAGAAGTGATGTTTAGCAAATGCTCCAGCAGCCCTGAAAGGAGCCCCTGTGCCCACACTCCAGGGCCACTGCAGAGCTGGCCAAGCTGAGCCCTCGGGCTCAGGACCTGCCCTGGGAGCTCAGAAAAGCCAGAGCCTGCCCAGGGAGCTGGCACACTGCAGGGCTCTGCAGAAATTGGTGTTTGCTGCTGTCAGCCAGGACAGCCAGCTCCCAGCAGAAAGGGAACGAGGAGGCTGTTGTGGAGCTGGGATCCAGCCTGAGCTCCTGCTGAATGTGCACGTGGGGATCGGCAGAAATGCAGAACAAACAACTCTGTGCACAAGCTGTGATCTGTCTGCAGAGCAGGACACCACCCCAAAGCCACAAGCCAGCAAGAATCCTTATCCAAAGCAACATCCAGCACCTCATGGGTCTCTGCTCCACCAGCAGAAGCTCCTGGAGTGGCTTCCTGCAGCCCCTGCATCCCAGAGCAGGGACCGAGTTCAGAGCAACAACTTTTGTAAGTGTTTTATGCATGAGGGCCTGCTCAGCTCCCCAAAAAACCCAGAGAAAGAAGCTTTTAATAAAGAGGTTTCTCATGGCCAGGGGTGGGAACAGCACCACGACAGCCCCAACCCCAGCACACCCCACTTGTAACTGTGGGCAGTGAATAAATAACTGCTTGGTAATACTAATAACTAGTTAGTCATTATTGTTAATAATTTATTAATTACTATTAGGGCCTTGCTTCTCTACAGAGTTAACCACTTGTAACTATGGGCAGTGAATAAATAACTGCTTGGTAATACTACTAACTAGTTAGTAATTAATGTTAATAATTTATTAATAACCATTAGGGCCTTGCTTCTCTACAGAGTTAACCACTTGTAACTATGGGCAGTGAATAAATAACTGCTTGGTAATACTAGTAACTAGTTAGTAATTAATGTTAATAATTTATTAATAACCATTAGGGCCTTGCTTCTCTGCAGAGTTAACCTGGGCTCCCTGATAGCTGAAAGTGAGCTGGGGAGGGAGCAGCTGAATGCCTTGACTCAGCAGTGGCTCCATGCCCAGCCCCTCAGACCTCCCCAGCCTTATTCCAGCACCTCTGCTGTGGTTAAAAGCTGCAAAGGGCAGGGGGGGAGCTGAGGGGGCACACAGCACCCTCCCACCTCAGCATCCTGTGCTGCTCAGACCTGCTGAGAGACGTGGGGAGCAGGAATTTGATGACTTCTGTTCTTTGAAGCTGCAGGGCATCCATCCAACACCGAGGAGAAAAATCCCACATCCCCCGGATTGCTAAGTTTCCAGAGGTTTCTTTTTCCATAAGCATTTCTCTTCTCCTCCTTCCCTCACCGCTCTTCACAAATTCCTCTGGATTCAGCCTCATTCTGCCCCACGCTGGGCAGCCCTGTGAGCTGGAAGCACTGGGGTAATCCCAGTCAGGGATCCACATCACAAAGGCACCAGTTGTCACTGCCAGTAGAAGCCCTGCCACCTCCCCCTGCTCTCCTGTTTGATGTTGTCTCTCCAGGACACAGGAAAATTTGGGGCAAAGAGGGGATGGAGGGAGGGCTTCACCTCCCTCTTCCCCCCACCAAATGCTGAGATTCCTGTCTCACTCCCCTCCTGGCTGTGACATCCTGCCCAGCTGGGAGCAGTGGTGGAAGGAGGAGGAATAAAGTCAGAGTTTGAGCCTTTTCCTCTCCTTGGAGAGCAGGGGGAGGTTGGGAAGGGCTGAGCACCGCTCGTGCTGTGCAGCACAGGAGCTGCTGAAGGGAGCAGGAAAAGCAGGAGAGCCCTGGCTCAGCCCAGAGGGAGCTCCAGCTCTGGGGAAAGCAGCACCACAGGGGCCTGGAGAGAAAGGCTTGGGCTGTCCAACCTCCTCTTTCCATTCCCAAACACTGCCAGAACCAAGGGCTGAGTTCACCCTTTGCAGTTAAACCAGAGCTCCATAAACTGCAGTTAAATCAGAATTCCACGAACTGCAGTTAAATCAGAATTCCATGACTTACAGTTAAACCAGAGCTCCAAGAACTGCAGTTAAACCAGAGCTCCATGAACCTCAGTTAAATCAGAATTCCACAAACTGCAGTTGAAACCAGAATTCCAAGGACTGCAGTTAAACCAGGATTCCATGAACTGCAGTTAAACCAGGATTCCATGAACTGCAGTTAAACCAAAGCTCCACAAACTGCAATTAAATCAGAGCTCCACAAACTACAGTTAAATCAGAATTCCATGACTTACAGTTAAACTAGAGCTCCAAGAACTGCAGTTAAACCAGAGCTCCATGAACCTCAGTTAAATCAGAATTCCATGACTTGCAGTTAAACCAGAGCTCCAAGAGCTGCAGTTAAATCAGAATTTCACAAACTGCAGTTAAGACCAAAATTCCAAGGACTGACTGCAGTTGAACCAGAATTCCAAGGACTGCACTTAAATCATAATTCCAAGGGCTGCAGTTCAAGCAGAGCTCCAAGGGCTGCAGCCAGCTGTGGCCCTGGCAGGGTTTGACATCCTGGGGTGCAGTGAGTTGGGTGAAGCCTCACCTGCACCCAGAGAGAACAAGCACAGGGTGGATCCAACACCTCTCACAGGCACGTGCCCTCCACTGCCAGCAGCTGCCACCCTCGTGGGCAGGGGTGAGCAGAGGTGTCAGCCAGGGATGCCCAGGGAAGGGACAGGGAGCAGGAGGGCTCCATGAGAGTGGCTGACCACTCCTTTTCCCCTCCCTCATCCCCACCTTTCAGCCACCCAGCAGAAAAATCTTTTCCTTTTATTTTTTCCTATATTTTTTTTCTCCTTTCCCCCACTCTGTTCGTGGCCTGGCTCCCTTTCAGATTCCCAGAGCAGAATGTTTCTGTGCTGGATGAGGGATGACATCCGGGCCAGCCCCAGACACGCCGTCACGTCTGATCCAGCCCCGCCGTCTATCACAGCTCCCATCTCCTTAGTGCTGAGCTGGCAGCACTCCAGGCCTTGGGAATGGGCTCCCAGTGCCTCCAGAGGACAGAGTCAAGGACTTGGATTAATTAGCATTTTGAATTGTAGCTAATAAATACCCCTCTGGCATTCGGAATGGGATGGGGACACAACGGGGATGTCCTTGAGATGCTGCAGGGTTTGGCTGATGGAGGCCAAGGGACAAGGGGCACCCACTGAGTCCCTCTGTGTGCTGCAAGCTTGGATCTCCTCCTGGAGAGGGAGAGAAAGGGAAGGAGCACATTCCCCATGGAGAGAGGGAGAGAAAGGGAAGGAGCACATTCCCCATGGAGAGAGGGAGAAGGGAAGGAGCACATTCCCCATGGAGAGGGGGAGAAGGGAAGGAGCACAACCACCACTGGATTCAGCATCACCTACTTGCCCTGCAGTGGCCAAAACTCACAAACTCACAGAATTCTGCACCCAGGACGCTGTGGATTGTCCCACCATAAAAACATGTTTGGGACTGGGCTCCAGGCAGTCCCTTGTGTCTCAGACCCAAAGCAGGGAGGTGGCAGGGGACTGGCACTGATGGCTGCAAGGACACAGGGCTGGGAGCACAAGCAGCTCCCAGGGCTGCCCCAAAGGAGTCTCCCCACACCTGAATGCTCTGGCCACAGTGCCCACCCTGCCTCATTTCTGGCTCAGCCTAAAAAACAAAATAAAGGTGAGGAGAGAGGGTACAAGGCTAAAGCTGCCCTTCCATCCCCTGTGGCTGAAAATCCCTCACTGCAGGTGGGTCCAAGACCTGACTGCTACTGCAGAGCAGCTCCTCCTCCTCATGCAGGGCTCAAAGATCCCTGCACAGACATCCCAAAACAGCCCCACACTCTGATACCCCCCCTCTGATGTCCTTGCAAGCTCATCTTGTCCTGGTGTCCCTTGCTTGTCCTTGAGCTGAGCCTTCCCTGAGGGCTGGATGACCCTCTCTGAGGGGTGGATGACCCCTGGAGCAGCAGGTTAAGTGGTGAGCAATGGCTGGGCAGGACAGATGAGAGCATCAGAGACAGCAAGCAATTAGTTAATGGGCTCTGGGGCTCTCAGACCAATCTCATCAGTGACAACGAGCTGCAGGAGAAATGATGACAGGCCAAGCCAATAGAAACAGGAGCCAAAGGAGGAAAGCAGGCATGGGGGAAGGGGGAATTAAGAGGGAATGAAAATAATCAAAAACCCAGGGAGAAGATGTAGAACACACAAGCACTGTACTGAGCTGGAGACCTGACAGGCTCAGCTGCTGCTCAGGGGAGAAAAACCAAATCCCTTTATCTACCTCCACACCCTTCCAATAGAGAATGGTGTCAAATCAATTTATTGCTTTCCCCTCACAGTCCATCAGGCTCCTGCAGTGCTCAGGAGCCCTGTCACAGGCAGCAGGGGAAGGGAGAGCAGCAGAGCAGCACATGGAGGAGGCTGCTCAGATTCCTGCTGCTCGTGATCAGCAGGGGATGGGTGGCTCCTGGCCAGAGCAGCTCACAGTCACAAGACTCAGAACCACACTGAGTTGTGTAAGGTTCCCTGCAAACCTTGCTGGGTGTGCATGGAGAGGCTCTGGAGTGTTGTAATGGATGAGGCTCGTGGATATGGGGAGGGAAAGTGCCCTTCCAACGAGGCAGAGGTTGGTGCAAGTGTGTGAAGTGAGGCTCTGCAGGCTGATCATGCTCCTGAGAGTGCTATTTGCAAGGAGAAAGAGGCTCAGGAAGAGACCAACACTTCATGGGGTACAGAGAAGTGTTTCCACCTCCCCACTGGAGAAAAGTGTCCACACTGAGCTGCAGAGCCTCTGCACCAAAGTCTCCAAATCCCAGACCTGTGACTCGCAAGGGAATTGCTCATGAGCACCAGAGTGCTGGGTATCAGCAAGCCCAAGGCAGTTTGTGTTCCATCACATCCCAGTTTGTGTCCCATCACATCCCAGTTTGTATCCCATCACATCCCAGTCTGTGTCCCATCACATCCCAGTTTGTATCTCACCATCCCAGTTTGTCTCCCACCATCCCAGTTTGTGTCCCCACCATCCCAGTTTGTCTCTCACCATCCCAGTTTGTCTCCCACCATCCCAGTCTGTCTCCCACCATCCCCCCAGTCTCTCCCCCTCCCAGTTTGCCCCCCAGCAGTGGCACACCCACCCACTCACTCTTTGGGGGGGCTCAGGTCGTCGGGCCGTGTCTCGAAGAACTGCAGCACCTCCTCACACTGGGAGATGTAGGGGGGCAGCTGGATCAGAGCCTGAGGAGCAAACACACACACACACACACACACTGCTGCTGGCAGCATCCAGACTGTGCCAGGAGCCCAGCGAGGACTCCTGGGACACCAGTGGCACCCAAGGGGTTCCCAGCAGAGCCAGAGAGCCCCTGTCCCACCCAGCACCCCCCCTGCTGCAGTTCAACTAAAGGAGAATAAGCAGAGACTGCCCCAGGCAGCTCCACCTTTGGGGCAGATGCTGTGCCAGAGGCTGGGAGCCCCAGGGTGCCCATGCAGCCTCCCAGCTCCATTTCCCAGCCTGGAGCAGCCATCCTTGGGAAAGGCTGGGCACTTTACACGGGGCAGGCTCCCACTGCCACCCCAGCACAGCCTGAAAATGCTCCTTTGGGCAATGGCAGCTTGGGAAGGGGCAGGGGGAGAAGCAAGGGAGGCAAAAGCACAGACACCAGGGCTGGAAGGCTGCTGTGGTATGGCAGGAGATGTAAAATTCCCTCTGCTTCTTTCCCTTCAAGGAATCTATTGCAAAAAATCTTCAACAGTGGGACCTGCAGGGTGAGAGTGCCTGGCTGGGAGGGCAGTGGAAAAAAGGAGTGTTTAAAATCAGGGAGCAGAGCTGTAGCCTGAGCTGGAGCAGATTTATAACCAGATTTCTGTGCAATTCCCCCTCCCCTGTGTTTGCTGTCCCAGCAGTCCCGTGACAGCAGCGTGGGCAAAGAAAACCTCCCCTCATTTCTCTCCTGGAGACAAAACCACAGCAGCAGAGCCTCAGGGTGACCACAGAGATCAGATGTGGCTCCTCACTGCCCCAAGTGCTGGCCCCAAAGCCCTTCCAGGCACTGAGCAGCAGTGCCTCAGTGCCAGCACAGCAGCCTTCAGCCCACTAATCATGGGCCAGACTGAACAGCACCATGTGAGACACAGCACAGAGAAAACCACTCCCTCCATGGCTTCTGGGCCCAGGACAGGGCTATTCAAATATCAGGTTTTGCATGGATGCCATTCCCATGCGGTACCACTCCCCAGCTCCAGCATCCCATGACCTAAGTGACTTCCCCTTGCCAAAATCCCTGGGATTTTGTGGCCTGGAGGAGGCTCTGTGCCCTCTGAAAGGAGGGGATGATCCCAGAGAACACCCTGGGCTAGAAGGAGGAGACAAAAGGCCCACAGCTCATTTCCCAGCACGTTTGGAAGGAAGCCCACCTAGAGCTGGCTGTGCTGAGCCAAGCAGGCCACAGAAACAGAGGCACAGCAGCCTGAGGTCTGTCTGTCCCACCTCTGGCCCTGCCTGACGTCTGTCTGTCCCACCTCTGGCCCTGCCTGATGTCTGTCTGTCCCGCCTCTGGCCCTGCCACCCAAAGCAGGACACAGCTCTGGTGCTGGAGCCACAGCAAAGTCACCTTTCCCATCCTTCCTGCAGGCCTGAGGGGAAAGGACCGAAGGCAGAGGATCCTTGTTGGATTAGAATCATTCTGCAGGCAGTGGGAATGGATTTTGTTGCCTTTCTCAGGGCAGCAGCATTCTCAGTGGGCCACCCAGTCTCTTTGGGGTAGAGCATCACCACTCCTCCATCAATCCCCCCTGACACTTTCCCCAAATCCCTTAGACAGGAGGAAGGCAGACCCCACACCACGGGAAAGGCCAAAGGGAATAAACTGGAGCAATGAGAAGGCATTTCAGGCCTCTGCTCCCTCTCCTTGCCAATCCCATGGTTGTCCCAAGTCTCATTTAGCAACTCATTGCTCTTACCAGTTTGTTCTGATTCCTTTGCTGCTTCTCCTGCACTTTATCTTAAATTGCCACGTTTTTCATTCACCAGGAGCTGGAACAGAGCCCTGTGAAAGCAGTGGCTCCCCCCCTGCTCCTCTTCCCTGCTTCCACCCCAAATCTCACCCATCCTCTCTGCAGGGCTCTCCCAGAGAACAAAAACACCCAACTTCCCCCAGAGGAGACTGCAATAAAGAAAATCCTCCTCACAGAGATTCCTCCTGCTCATCCCTGCTCATTCTCCATCTCTGGCCAGCCCCAGAGCCAGCTCAGCCCAGTTGCTTTCCGGGCAAGCAGCAGCAGCAGCTCTGGGGCCTCGTGGGTGATGCATTAACGGGAGGAGGAGAGCACAGCTCCCTAAGTGGGTCATAGAACATCAGCCATTACCTTCCTCTTGTTAAGGAAAAAGGGTTCATTATATTTTATGCCACTAATGGCATTGCTCTGAAAGAGGCAGCTGCAGCGTTTCATCACTGAGGGACGTTTCCTTCCCCAAAATGGGATTTATGGCCGTGTCTGTCTGTGCAGGGACACAGCTCAGTGGCCAAGCACCATCAGCTCCCCCAGGACAGCTCAGAGCACACCTTGCACCACACCTGCAGCGCTCATCTGCTCTCCTGGCCTGCAGTGATTCTCATCTGCAGCCCCTCTGCAGAGCTGTCTGCATTTCCCAGCCCATCTCCATCCCTGGAGTTGTGATTCCTCCCTGCCAGGGGCTTGGCTGAGCCCTAAACCCCACAGCCTCCCCCACCACACACAGGCACTGCCACAGCTCCCTCACCTAAGGGATGGCATGGGCATTTCACCATTTCCCCATCTTCTCCCGTGGGTTTTACAGTCTTTGCATAAATTTCCAACAACATTCAGACTGGATTTTGGAGGTACCAGTCCTACCATGGCTGCTGCAAGCACCAGAGCATGTTTTTGACATGCTGAGATGTGACACACTGGATTTGTGTGAAAATAGTTCATTGTGGACTTCAGAATTTTGTTTCCCCTGCCAAAAAAAAAAAAAAATCTGCCCTAAAATCATAATTTCCCTTACACTTCAGCCCAGTTTTATATCCTTCAAGGGTATGGAGCAAATTGTCTCATCCTCCTCTGTGTTCCAATAATTTTCTGAGGTACAACTCATCTTACCCTGGTTTTGTAACCAGTAACTGGAGTCTGCATCCCAGTTTGGAGCCACCCCACCATCCTACAGCCTCAAGTAGGATCAAGTAGCCTCCTCCCATCAAATGCACCTACATCATTCTGCAGCTCCAGGGGATGGCTCCCACCTCCTCATTCCCAGAAATTAATAAAAACCAATTTATTGCTGTAACTCTGCCCAGCCTCTGCTCCAGGCAGCCTCTGAAGGCATCAGGGCAGCACTGCCACACCAGGAGATGCTGTCAGTCCATCAGGATGGAGCTGGGCCAAACTGGGATTGTCCTTGGTGGGTGCCCAAGGACAGGGAGGAGCTGGGGGTGCTCAGCCTGGAGAAAAGGAGACTCAGGGCTGCCCTCATCACTCTCTGCAGCTCCTGAAAGGTGCCTGTGCTCAGCTGGGGCTGGGCTCTGTCTCCTGACAGAACCAGAGGACGCAGCCTCAAACTGCACCAAGGGAAATACAGGTTGGAGAGCAGGAAAAAGTTTTTTCCAGCAGGGGTGATAAAGTTCTGGAATGACTGCCCAGGGAGGTGGTGGAGTCCCCATCCCTGGGGGTGTTTAACACAGCCTGGATGTGGCACTGGGTGCCAGGGTTCAGTTGAAGGGTTGGGGCTGAGGTGGACTCGATGAGCTTGAAGGTCTCTTCCAACCCAGTGATTCTGTGAATTCTGTGTGTGATCCTGTGTGATTGTGTGATTGTGTGATCCTGTGTGTGATTGTGTGTGTGATTGTGTGTGTGATCCTTTGTGTGATCCTGTGTGATCCTGTCTGATCCTGTGTGTGTTCCTGTGTGTGATCCTGTGATCCTGTGTGATCCTGTGTGTGATCCTGTGTGATCCTGTGTGATCCTGTGTGTGATCCTGCGTGATCCTGTGTGTGATCCTGTGATTCTGTGTGTGATCCTGTGTGTGATCCTGTGATCCTGTGTGATCCTGTGTGTGATCCTGTGTGTGATCCTGTGACCTGGAGCCCCCTTACCTTGCAGTACTCATCGATGGGGATCAGCCGTTTCACCGCCACGTCGCGGATGTGGCTCCGGCGGAACAGAATCTTCCCTGAAACGTGAGAGGAGACAAGGGAGACAGGGCAGCTCAGCTCAGCACTCTTTGGGATCACACTGTCAGGACCTTCTCCCTGCACCCCCTCTTGCTCCCCAAAAGCACCATCCCCAAAAAAAGCCCATTTCCTCCTATGGATTAAACAGCTCACCAGAATCGGGCACAGTCCAAGTGGCAAGGACAGCCAGGGGAGAGAAGAGCAAACAGCTCCCAGCAAACTGCATCCCCCTGGTCTCTCACCAGTGCTGAGGAGCAGCCCCCACCAAAGCACACCCCTCTGTTTGCTGGTGTGCAAGTCTGGGCTGGACAGAATCCCTGGCAAAGGCTGCAGGACATCCCTGTCCCATTGTCCAGCGTGTCCAGGTCCAGTGTGGGCAGCAGCCAAGCCCAGAGGGTTTTTCCCTGTGCAGCTCCTGGATGCCACAGTGTCTGCAGCTCTGAGTCAGACCTATAGAATTTTCCTTCCTGTCTGGGGTTTATTTTTGTTCTCCATTAATGGGATCCTCTTGCCACTCCGTTTCCTCCCCTCTGGTTATGGTACAGGCCTCTTTCCTTTGAAGCCTAATGAGTCCTAAATGCTTCAAGCTGCTCTCTCAGAGAACAGCTTCCCTGGTTTAAGGAGACAAAAGCCATTAGCAGACAGTGAAACAGATCCCTGATCAAAAGGGTTGGTGCTGGCAGCATTTCAGAGCACTTCCCAAAGCTCTAGGAACTGGCACTGCTCTGCAACACCATCACCTGCAAAACCCAGCTTTGTGGCAATGAAGTTCCCTCAAGCTCCTCCTGGCAGCTCCAATACCACAGGAAAGTCTTTTTTGTGCCTGCTTGGGTTTCCAATCCCATCCTTGAAGCCAAGGAGAGCAACAACCCCTTCATTTATCAAAGGGGTCACCACGGGGCAACCAGAAGCCAAACTCCCCTCACTCCACCCTTGCAAACCGCGTGAGAGCAGGGAAAAAGCCCTTGGGGAGTCCCACCATGGCTTTGTCCCTTTCCCCTGGAATTACTGAAGCCAGGGGCTGGATGCTACCGAGAGCAGGAGGCAGGAAAACGGTCACATGGTTCTGGCAATTTGAACTGCAGGGCTGAGTCATTGATCAGAATTTGAACTCCAGGGCTGGGTGATCTATCCCAGTTTGCAATGCAGGGCTGGGTCACCCCCTGTGCCTCTCCCTGACTTGGCCAGGAGCTGCATCACGGGTGACTCCTGCAAGCAGCCAAGGCATTTTTGAAGCAGAGATGAACCAAAGCCAAGCCAACTTCAGCCTGCAAAGAGCACGAGCAAGAACCTTCTGGAGGAGCCAGATCTCCTGCCAGGCTCAGTTAATGCTTTGGAACAGGACTGAACCCACTCAGAGGCAGCTCCATCCTTGCCCTGCAGGGGAAGGGAGGGGGTCAGGCAGCTCAGCCCAGGATTGCTCCTCATTTCTGGGCCCTTGGCAGCAGGGCTGGGACGCTGCTGGTGGGAAATGCTCTGCCCTGCAGTGCATTCCCTCTAAAGCATGCCAAGAAGAGCCAAATCTGGCAGCCTTTGTGACAGAGTGAGAACAAAATCCCCCTCTATTCAATCTTCTTCTATTTTGAGGGTGAACAGCCTGGGAACAGGGGATTTCTCTGGGAAGACTGGGACCAGCACCCAGGCTGGAGCTCCATTCCTTGCCCTGAGCAATTATTTTCCATCTGACAAGAGAATGATCGAGTTTTGCCTTTGCATCAGCAATCCCAGTGTGTTTGCTGCTGAGGATTCTGTCTGAATGATGATTGCTAGAAAGATGAATGGATCCCACCAGTTCTGCTGGCAGGGGTAAGGAATGGCTGTTCTGGTTCTGGGTCTGCCAAAGTGAAATCACTGCTGGGTGGGTAGGTTACAAATGGCTGAAATAATAAGCTCTGGGTGTGGGAATACTGAAATGTTTAACAAACATATGCTAGTGAGTAATAATAAAAAGAATACAGTTTGGGGGGAACAAATTCATCACAAGTGATCTTAAATTAGCCCAGGCATGGAGCATGTGAACCAGCAGGAAATCCAGCTCCTCTCTCCATTTGCTCTAGATCTGGTATTTTTCAACAAGGAAGTTTATTTTCTAACAAAAAGCTGACTTTAATCAAAAAGCCTAATTAACATAACTGCAGCCCCTTCAGTGCTGCCAAATCTAGCAATAGAAACCCTTGAGCTGACAGGCAGGAGAGAGCAGGAAACCCCTTCCCTCCTGGAAGGGAGAGGTGGTGCAGCATTTCCCTGGGCAGGTTTTCCTTGGCCCAGACCTAAATCTGGGAATTTAGGGTGGAATTTCAGCAGAAATTCCAGTGGGAATTTCTGTCCAGTGGGGCTTTTCCCACGGCCCAAGACAACAAAGCACAAGGGGAGCACAACAGGAGACCGAGGGGTGCAGAGAGCACCTGCATCCCTCTGCAGCTCCAGGGATGGCTCCCACCTCCTCATGCCCAGAACTCTCTCCCTGGTGCTTTTCTGGCTGCTTCCAGAGCCTGTAAGGATCCTCAGCCAGGTCCTGGCAGTGCCCAAGGCCAGGCTGGACAGGGCTTGGAGCCACCTGGGACAGTGGAGGTGCCCTGCCCATGGCAGGGGTGGGTGAGGTGACCTTTAAGGTCCCTTCCAACCCAAACCATCCCAAGGCTCCACGGTTCCAAACCCATTTTTGCCCTCCCAGCACTGCTCCTGCCCCGGGATGAGGAACACACCAAGGACAAGAGAGGTGAAGGGGGCAGCTCTGATTTTCCATCAGCTGCAGAGGCCAGTGCTGCTGCAGGCTCCACTTGCCCAGCTTCCCTCTCTCCTCACGATGCCAGGACTCAGAAATAATTAGATTTTCTTATTTACATAGATAATGTCATGCATGAGCAATGAGCAGCGAGGCTCCATCCCTGCTGGCACCAGGAATTCCCTCCAGCAGGAAGTGTGCTGAAACTCACTGTAAAAATACCCTGTAAAATGCACTGTCCTGCACAGAAACAAACAAAGCTGAGAGAGGACTGAACGTTTCTCACCCAGGAATGTGTCAAACAAGTTGATTTTGGAAAAAGACAGCTGAGATAAGGCTCCAATACACAATGGCTGTGCAAGCACCCACGCTGCAGAATGGGCTGCCTGCTTTTTCTGGACTTTAAAAACCTGTTAATCCCTCCAAAGGGAAAAAAAGCTCCACTGAAGGGATTCTGTCTGGCCATGAAAATTCCTCTGGTGCCAGAAAGGATCTGTTCCCCAGGAGTGGAAGAACCCAACTCCTCTGTGGGTAAATCAAGGCTGATTTGCTTTTTCTGATTGACCCAGAGCAAAAATTGCTGGAGCAGCCCCAAAATAGGCAGGCTGGAAAAAAATGCAGCCAGGTCCCCATTGCCTCAGGCTTCACTGGGACTGAGCAGTGTCAGAAACCCTGGGGACAAGGCTGAGGAGGAATTTGGGTCTCCAGCAGTGAGAGCCAGAGCAGGCAGCACACAGGAGGGGTTAATCTCTCCAAATGAACAAAACCAGGGATCAGGGCTCTGCAAATGGTTCCCTCCTGGGGGAGTTCACCAGGCAGAGCTGGAGCTGTACTGGGAGCAAGGAGATGGGGAAAAAAAAAACCCCAAAAACAAAAAACAAAACAAAACAAAACAAAAAAAAACCAAAAAAAAAAAAAAAAAAACAAAACCAAAAAAAACCCAAAAAAACCCACAAAAAACCCAAAAAAACCCAAAAAAACCCCAAAACAAACCAAAAAAAACCAAACCGAACCAAACCAAACCAAAAAAACAAAACAAAACAAACCCAAAAAAAACCCCAAAACAAACCAAAAAAAACCAAACCGAACCAAACCAAACAAACAAACAAAAAAAACCCCAAAAAAAACCTCCAAAACCCCCAAAACAAACAAACAAACAAACAAACAAACAAACAAAAAACAAAAAAAAAAACCCAAAAAACCCAAAAAAACCCTGAAAAAAACCAACCAACCAAACAAAAAAATCCCCAAAAAATTAAAAAACCAGGCAGAAGGACCTTAAGTAGCAAAATAGTGGAGCCAAAGGCTGGATGTGCAGCAGGCTGAGAACCCCAAGCATCCCCAGGGCAGCCCAGCTGTGAGCCAGGCAGGGGCTCCAGGAGTGGAAAAGCAGCTGAGCCTCCTGCCCTACCCTGAAGGAGTCCCCCCCTCCCCATGGAAAGAATTCACTCCTCTGCACCTTCAAATCACATCCAGACCTTCCCCAGCACGGGTTCCAAGCTCACTTCAGAGAAAAGGCAGCCCTGAATGTAGACATAATGAATCCCAGCCCCTGGAGCAGCCAGCCGTGGCTGGGATGGGGGATCAGGCAGGAGTCCTGCACTGTGCATCTGCTCTGTGCTGGGGCTCAGCCTGCCCTCCCAGCCTGCTGCAGCACAGATCCCCTCTCATCAGAGCACAAAATAACAACAAGGACCCTTGGGCCATCTCCAGCTCACAGGAAGATGCAACAGCACTGAGCAAAGTCAGGTACCAGAGCTGGAAAATGGATCAGTTTTTCCAGAAAGGGTTAACAGCAGGCTTGTTAGCTAAAGGAGTAAGAAGAAGCTGAGAAGCAAGAAGAGGCTGACAACTTTTTAAAGTTGCAACTGAAGAGACTGAAAGAAGTGAAGAATTGAAGAAAGAGAACTTTGCAGCTGAACGAAGCATTTTTAAAAAGTTATTTGAAGTCATTGTAACTTTTCACCAATAGTGTTATATTGACTTATTGCAGCTAATAGTTAAAGTAGAAGAAGCACAAACAATTAAAGAGTGTATAAAAAGTCAGCCATGTTCAATAATAAAGAGTTGCCATCTCAGACTGCTTGTGGTCTCTGCTTTGTGTCGTGACCGCCTCGACAGCGACAAATTTTCTTTCTCCCATTGCCTTCACAGAGGTTTTGCGGGGATCTAAAGCACCCTCACAGTTACCCTGGGAGTTATGCTGGCCCCAAAGCTCAGAGCTCAAACCCTGGCCCCAAAGCTCAAACTCAACCCTGGCCCCAAAGCTCAGAGCTCAAACCAGGCCCCAAAGCTCAAACCAGGCCCCAAAGCTCAAACTCAACCCTGGCCCCAAAGCTCAGAGCTCAAACCATGGCCCCAAAGCTCAGAGCTCAAACCCTGGCCCCAAAGCTCAACCCTGACCCCAAAGCTCAAGCCTGGCCCCAAAGCTCAAACTCAACCCTGGCCCCAAAGCTCAAACTCAACCCTGACCCCAAAGCTCAAACTCAACCCTGACCCCAAAGCTCAACCCTGGCCCCAAAGCTGAAGCAGGCTGCTGGGCTGGGAAGGGAGCAGAAAGCAGGGCTAATTCTGCTTTTAAAAACAACCCCCCCAAACCCCCTTTGTCCTGCTCCCTTCACTCAGGGCTTCACTGCTAAATCTTCCTGAAAAGCAATTTTACAGCCAGAGTGAGCTCAGCCTCAGGCAAACCCTGCTTGCTGGGGCTCACGTTTCCAGGCAGGCAGGAGAACTGGCCAGGAGCTGCTCCAGGCCCCTGGGGCTGCAGGGAGCTTGGAAAGCTCCACGTTCCTCAGCAAAGCTGTTTCCTGAAGGATCTGGCACAGCCCTCCCCAGCTGAGCTCATTTGTTTGCTCTGCTCCTCTCCTTTCTTTCTTTCCTGGGGTCCCCATCTGCCCTGTGCCAGGGTGGGACCCTGGGGTGATGTCCCAGCAAGGCACCAGCAGGGCTCTGTCCCTCTGTCCCTCTGCAGCTGCCCAGAGCCCTGGCAGGGCACAGCTGGTGCCAGCCATGGGCTGGGTGCTGCCACAGCTGCTCCAGCACCACAGGAAAGCTCTGCCAGGGGCTCAAGGCCAGCTAAGAGAGCTCAAAAAGCACTTCAAATTCCCCTCAAAGCTTTTCAGGCACACAGCAGGAGCACTGCCAGGAAAATTCAAACACCACCAGGCTCTGCTGTGGGATAGAGGTGGTGCCAACACCCAGAAAGGGACAAGCCCTGGCCCCAAAGCTCAAACCCTGGCCCCAAAGCTCAGAGCTCAAACCCTGACCCCAAAGCTCAAACCCTGGCCCCAAAGCTCAGAGCTCAAACCCTGACCTCAAAGCTCAAGCTCTGGTCCCAGATCTCAAGCCTGACCCCAAAGCTCAAGCCCTGACCCCAAAGCTCAAACCCTGGTCCCAAAGCTCAGAGCTCAAGCCCGTCCCCAAAGCTCAAGTGCAGCTGCTCTGCTTTGGAGGACCCAGCTCAGTGGCCCCACAAGAGCTCAGTGGGCTGAAGGAACTTTGCACTTACAAAATCCCCTCCTGACAGCATCAAAGACCTGCTCAGAGAGGCCAGAGCCTCCAGAAATTTCCCATAAAAAGTCAAATCCTCAAGGCAGGCCCTCACAAAATGAGGCAATACAAAGCCAGCAGAGTTGCTGTGGGCTGGGTGTTGGGATGTGGGGCAATCCTGGAGCTCCTTCCCATTCCAGGAACCCAGCCTGACACACAAACCCGGTGGCACCTCCTCAGGTGGTGGTGCTGACCCCAGTTTGGGACACTTTGGGGTTTGCTGAGGGAGCCAGAGCTGCAGGAGGAAGATTTAGCAGTGAAGTCCTGAGAAGGGAGCAGGACAAAGGGGGTTTGGGGAGGCTGTTTTTAAAAGCAGAATTTTGGAGAGCTGCAGTGGCCACAGGGCTGGTGCTGCTCTGCAAGGGCTTCCCAGCAAGCAGAGGGCTTGCAGGAAACCACAGCAGCCAAAGCTCCCCTGCTAATGAAATTCAGATGCTCCAAATGGGACTGGGAACAAACTGCAGCATTCCCAGAAGCTGAACACAATCTAAACCCAGCAAATCTAGGGAGACAGAACCACCTTTGTCCAGGAGAACAGTCCCAGGCTCACCTGGATGGCACCCCTGGGCTGAGAGACACAAAGCTGGGGGTCAGCTGGGACAAAACTATAGCCATGATATTTTCTGAAAAATCCCTTCCTGAGGATCTTTTCTCCTGAGAAGCTGAGAAGCCTCAGAGGAAAAGAAAAACAATAATTACCTGCTGCTGTGGAATGCATCTTTGATTGGTCTCATGTGGTTGTTTCTAATTAATGGCCAATCACAGCCCAGCTGTCTCGGACTCTCTGGTCAGTCACAAGATTTTATTATCATTCCTTTCTATTCCTTGCTAGCCTTCTGATGAAATCCTTTCTTCTATTCTTTTAGTATAGTTTTAATTTAATATATATAATAATAAATAATAATATGTATAATATATAATATATACAGTTATAATATATATAATAAATTATATACTAAATAATAATATATAATAAATATATATTATATATAAACATATATAATATATAGTAAATATATACTAAATAATAATATATAAAATGTATAACACATATAATATATATAGTTTAAATATAATACATAATAAAATAGATACTAAATAATAATGCATAATAAATATATAATATATAATAAATATTTAATATATAAAATATATTTATGTAATATATATATAAAATATATATAATAAACAATAATATATACAATAAAATCAGCCTTCTGAAACATGGAGTCCAGATTCTCATCTCTTCCCTCATCCTGGGACCCCTGTGAACACCACCACAGTCACCCCAAACTGGGAAAAGATTCCAGAAAGGAATCAGGCTCCAGGACAGCCAGCAAATATTGAAAGAGCCTTTCCTGCCCTCAGAAGCAGAGCCTGCCCACCCTGTCCCTGGGGAGCTGTGGCTCTGCCTGCCCCAGGGCAAAGGCACCACAATCCCAGCTCCAACACCACCTTGCCCCAAGCACAGGGCTCTGCAGCTGGCCCAGCCTCTCTTTTCCAGCAATTTCCACCCCCTTTTTTCCCACAGTGGAAATCCCAGTGACATGTTTCCGAGCAAAGGGAAACTATTCCAACACCAGGGAGAAACAAACACTGGTGAGTGAGAGCAGCAGAGCTCTGACCAGGCTTCCCTCCCAAAAATAGCAGAGTTTTGGTGGGAATTTTCTGCAGAGCACAAATCCAGTTTTTCCAAGTGATGGCCTTTGCCAGTTTGGCTTCCATCTCTCCCTGCTGGCAGGAGCCCTTGTACAGCAAGAGCTTTTCTGCTGTTTCACCAGGTGAGCTTTGCTGCTCTAACCCCAGGTGAGCTTTTCTGCTGAGCTTTGCTTTTGCTGATGTTACAAAGCCAGGACAAGCCAGAATCACAAACCCAGAGCAGATTCTCTTGCTCAGAAAGGGGTGGAAATTAAATTATTTTCTATTTTTTTTTTTCCCACAGCACTCAGAGCAAAGCAAAGCCCACAAAGGCCTTTATGTTTCTAGAAGAGCCAGGAGGCAGAGCACAGCACAAAGGGCTGCACTAAACAGACCTGACAGCCACTGGAAGTGATTATGGTGCTGTGACATTCCTAAATATCCTCATTAGCTGCTCAAGGGTGGGGGTAAAGACAACTCTGTGGTCACAGAGACTCCCCACAGGCTGTTTCTTTTCCCAAGCCATATTAAGGCTCTTTTTTCCCCCCACAGCAGCAGCCACACCACAAAGTGCCCCAGATTATCACATGTGCTGATAAAACCACTGGTTCTGGACATGGCACAGAACTCCTGGCTTTGAGCAGGGCAGGAAACCCATTCAAAGGCTGAATTCCATTGCTCTTTCCTCCTCTCTGGTGTCCCCTGGAGCTGCACAGGACAGGGAAAGCAGCGTGGGAGCAGCTCTGGGGAGCCTCACACCACCCTCAGCCCTGGGCCTGTGGGGCTCTTGGGGCTTCCACTCAACAGCTCTGGAGGTTCAGAGAAATCCTTGGGATTCCACTCAACAGCTCTGGAGGTTCAGAGAAATCCTTGGGGCTTCACTTCAACAGCTCTGGAGGTTCAGAGAAATCCTTGGGATTCCACTCAACAGCTCTGGAGGTTCAGAGAAATCCTTGGGCTTCACCTCAGCAATTCTGGAGGTTCAGAGAAATCCTTGGGCTTCCACTCAACAACTCTGGAGGTTCAGAGAAATGCTTGGGGCTTCATCTCAGCAATTCTGGAGGTTCAGTGTGACCGTGCTCACAGGGGTCCCAGGATGAGGGAAGAGATGAGGATCTGACTCCATGTTTCAGAAGGCTGATTTATTATTTTATGGTCTATATTATATTAAAACTATACTAAAAGAATAGAAGCAAGGATTTCATCAGAAGGCTGGCTAAGAATAGAAAAAGAAAGAATGAAAAACAAAGGCTTCTGTCTCAGAGAGTCTGAGCCAGCTGGACTGTGATTGGCCATTAATTAGAAACAACCACATGAGCCCAATCCCAGATTCACCTGTTGCATTCCACAGCAGCAGGTAATCATTGTTTGCATTTTGTTCCTGAGGCCTCACAGCTTCTCAGGAGGAAAAAATCCTAAAGAAAGGATTTTTCATAAAAGATGTCTCTGACAGTTCAGAGAAATCCTTGGGCTTCCACTCAACAATTCTGGAGGTTCAGAGAAATCCTGGGGGAGGGTTTAAGACCCACTGCTGACAAATCAGAGATTTTAAAGGACACACTGCAGGCCAAGAACTCGCTGCTGCTCAGATGGTGCAGCAGAGCAGAGCTAAAATCTGTGTATGCTCCCACATGTGTGTGTGCTCCCAGTCCCACAGAGCTCCTGCCGTGCCAGAACCAGCCTGGATCCTGCTGGAGCCCCAGTCCTACCTGGCAGAAAGGGGATGATCCTCTGCTTGGGGTCCTTCTGGCCTCCTTCCATGGGGAACTTGTCCAGCATCTGCATCTAGGAGAGGAAATGCAAGAGAGGTGAGGAAGATGAGGGATTCATGGGCAGGACACGAAGCCACTGCCCAGGAGAGAGACAGAACACACCAGGGACTCCAACACTCCCTCCTTTGGGACGAGGAGGAGGAGGAGGGAGGTGCAAACTCTCCTTTGGTTTCCTCAGGGCATGGATCTGAAGTGCCTGCCAGGATTTCTGCAGCTCCCTGGTGCCCAGGTACTGAAATGGGTTTGGCTGAGTCTGCTGGAGCTCTCTGCCTAAAGAATTCACATTTATGGAAGCACTGGAGACAACCTGCCCAGGAAGTGTCCTGAGCACCTGGAAAGTCCAACCAGCAGCCCTGCACAGGCAGCACTTGCACTTTTTTCCTTGGATCTCTGGGATAAATTTCTTTATTCCAAACCCTGGGATAAATTATTGAGGTTTGGTGCAGAGGGGACAGATGGAAGGAGGTATTTTTTCCCTGCATTTTGAGAAGAAATTAAAAACTCCCCCAAGATTCCCAAAGACAACAGGAAAAGCAGAAAGAGCTCTCAGAGTGAGCTCAGAACCTGGGTGGCACAGGGAGGGGTTTGTAAGGGAAAAAATGTCCCCAGACCTGGCAGCAGCCAGGGACTGTGTGACATTCATTGCAGCAGCCCCAGGGAGGACCTGGCTCCCCAGGCAAGCCAAGAGCTCTGCCCTCAATCCATGAAAACCCCGGCTGCCAGCACAGCCCTGTCCCTCTGTGCAGCACTCCTGCTCTGCTGTGTGCAGGGCAGAGCTCAGGAGAGCCTGTGGCTGCAGAGGGGAGAGGAAAACAAGGCACAAACACTGCACAGCTGGCTGTGGGTAAACCCTGGAGGCACTGGGACAACCCTGGAGGCACTGGGAGCAACCCTGGAGGCACTGGGACATTCCTGGAGGCACTGGGAGCAACCCTGGAGGCACTGGGACATTCCTGGAGGCACTGGGAGCAACCCTGGAGGCACTGGGACATTCCTGGAGGCACTGGGAGCAACCCTGGAGGCACTGGGACATTCCTGGAGGCACTGGGAGCAACCCTGGAGGCACTGGGAGCAACCCTGGAGGCACTGGGAGCAACCCTGGAAGCACTGGGACATCCCTGGAGGCACTGGGAGCACTCAAGGAGGCACTGGGAGCACTCAAGGAGACACTGGGACATTCCTGGAGGCACTGGGAGCACTCAAGGAGGCACTGGGAGCACTCAAGGAGGCACTGGAGCATTCCTGGAGGCACTGGGAGCACTCAAGGAGGCACTGGGAGCACTCAAGGAGACACTGGGAGCACTCAAGGAGACACTGGGACATTCCTGGAGGCACTGGGAGCACTCAAGGAGGCACTGGGAGCACTCAAGGAGACACTGGGACATTCCTGGAGGCACTGGGAGCACTCAAGGAGGCACTGGGAGCACTCAAGGAGACACTGGGAGCACTCAAGGAGACACTGGGACATTCCTGGAGGCACTGGGAGCACTCAAGGAGGCACTGGGAGCACTCAAGGAGACACTGGGAGCACTCAAGGAGGCACTGGGAGCACTCAAGGAGGCACTGGAGCATTCCTGGAGGCACTGGGAGCTCTCCTGGCCCTGCTGCAGCCCCAGCTGAGCATCCCTGGCTGCAGAGCTCGCTGAGCTCCAAGGCAGAGGCTGCAGGCTGTGCTGTCCCAGCAGCAGCACGTGCCTGGGCTGTGCCTCTGGCCAGGTCCCTTCCCAGCCATGTGATCCCTCCAAAGCCATCCAGAACTGCAGCCCAGCCCATCTCCATGTCCCTTTGTGCCCTGCTCAGCGTGGGGAGCCTTCTCCTTGCTCCAGCCCAGCCCAGGAGCACCAGTACCACCAGTACCAGTACCTGGGCTGGCACCATGCAGCCTGCAAGGGACAAATTGCTCTTTTCTTTCTTGCTGGAAGGAGGAAAAGAGGCTGGAGCAGCCTCTGGCATGGGCAGGAAGAGGAGAGGGCAGGGGGGGATCCCAGCCAGCCTGGCTGCCACATCACCCAGCTCTGGAGGAGGCACAGCCAACACCAGCTCAGCAGCTTTCCTGGGCATGAGCCTGTGGGAAGAACAGCTGGAAACCTCACTCCAAGCAAAACAAGCCCAGAGCTGGCTGTGAGCACAGGAGGCAGCTTGGGATGGCAGATCCAGGAGCACAGAGCCACAGAGAGCCAGCCTGGGCTGAGGGATCCTCCTGAGCTGCACACACACACAGAAAACACAGAACAGAGAGGGGGAAAGAGCAGAGCCAGGGGAAAGAGCAGAGGAAAAGAGCAGAGCCAGATTTTCCAGGTAGAGGAGCCTTTCCAGCAGCAGAGCTGTGGGAGGCAGGAGGGTGGCATGGGGGCACTCCCACAAACCCTGTTTGCAGCAAAAGGTTCCTCTCCAAGCCCCAAACAGGGCTGCTCCCATCCCATCCCATCCCATCCCATCCCATCCCATCCCATCCCATCTATATACAATATATAAATATAATATATAATATATAATATATAAATATAATATATAATATATAATATATAATATATAATATATAATATATAATATATAATATATAAATATAATATATATCCCATCCCATATATATACAATATATAAATATAATATACAATATACAGTATCTACAGTATCTAATATATAATATATAGTATATAATATATAATATATCCCATCCCATATATATAATATTATATAATATTATATAATATTATATGATATATGATATATAATATATAATTAATATATAAGATATAATATATAATATACAATATATATATATATATATATATATATATATATATATATATATATATAAAAAATATATATATATATATATATATTTTATATATATAAAATATATATCCCATCCCATCCCCAGAGGGGCCAGCCAGGCTCCCAGGGAGAGGGGCAGACAGGGCAGCAGAGATGCAGCCAGACACCAAACACAGGGCAGCACAGAGGGGCCAAGTCCTGCTCTCAGCAATGCACCCAGCCAGCCCAGGGAGAAAAAAATAAAGGGAAAAAAAAATCAAAAAACCAACCCAGAAACAATTAATCCATTGTTTCTCCCCTTCCAAGATTATTTTTAAGTATTTCTGACAGAGAAGGAGAAAGAAAAAGGCTGGGGTGGATGCAGTTTGAGGAATTCTGGTGTCTGCTATGCAGGGAAGCTGCTGTGTCCCATTTTTTACTGACCCCTGGGCAGAGGGAGAGCGATCCCAGGCCCTGGAGACAGGACTGGGGCACAGAAACCCCAGTGGGGAATCCAGCCCAGGCTTCCCACACCAGCACAGGGCACATTCATCCACATTTATCTCCACCACCAACTAATCTTATCAGTGAGCTGTTTTCCTTAGCCAGGAATGTCTGGGCAGTGAGTCTGGAGCAAGGCAGATTCTGAGAACTCCCCGTCCCCATCCTGAGCTGTCCATTAACAGGGAAATACAGGAAAAACAAACCAGGATAACCCCCCAGAAATGGGCAGCCTTGGAAAAAGCAGCTTTGTACCAGCAGGCTGGCAGAGAGCTGCTTCATCAGCAGGAAAGCCCTAAGATAATATCCTAATTAGAGCAATTAGCAGTGCTGCAGGGGATCCTGGGGAGAGGGGAATTGTCACAGACATCTTTTATGAAAAATCCTTTCCTTAGGACTTTTTCCTCCTGAGAAGCTGAGAGGCCTCAGGAACAAAATGTAACCAATGGTTATCTGCTGCTGTGGAATGCAACAGGTGGATCTGGGATTGGGCTCATGTGGTTGTTTCTAATTAATGGCCAATCACAGCCCAGCTGGCTCAGACTCTCTGTCCGAGCCACAAACCTTTGTTATTCATTCCATTCTATTCTATTCTTAGCCAGCCTTCTGAGGAGAACCTTTTCTTCTATTCTTTTAGTATAGTGTTAATATAATATATATCATAAAATAATAAATCAGCCTTCTGAACCATGGAGTCAGCTCCTGGTCTCTTCCCTCATCCTGGGACCCCTGTGAGCATGGTCACAGGCAGTGTCCCTGCTCTGCAGGATTTCTGGTTTTGCCCCAAAAAGGAGCTGTGGTGCAGTGCCACAGGGGTTACAGCGTGCACACAGGCAATTCTAACACAGAACTGCCCTCTCTGTAGCAAAAATAGAGGCCAGCAGTTAAGGAGAACAAGCTTCTCCCTGGAACTATTTTTGACAGGCTGCTGCTTTGCAGCAATTCTTGGTGAATATGTCTTTGGGAAGGGAAGTCACCAACACTGCTAATTTCATATTACTGATCAAGACAGTATCACATACTTTCCAAAATTACACCTTCAACCTGAATGCACCTTCCCAAATTAAGGGGCTTCCAAGTCTAATGTTTTATCAGTTAATATTCTTTGGAGGGCCTAAAATGCACAGGACATCACTGTGTCACTGCCTGGCATTGTTTAACAAAAGGCAGTCCTCCTGTGCTCGGTTTGCTTTGTTCAGATCAGAAATGCCTGAGATCTGAGCCCTGCACAGCCCCAGAGGCCCCAGCTGTGGGGATTCAGGGCATCCCTGTGGCTGTCCTGGAGTGCAGGACCCTGCCAGGGGGCTCAGAGACCCTGGCACAGAGCCCAGGACACACCTGGGGGTTTGATTTGACCCATGGAGAAGTTACCAACCTTACACGAAGATCTGCAAGCCAAAAAGTTTAAGTAGAATGATACTGAATTTATCATGGGGTGAAAAATAGATTTTTGGGGTTTTAGAATAGGGGTTCAGGGGGGCAAGGACAGCAGCAGCAGCCTGGGATGGAGCAGGGATGAGCTGGGCCAAGGCTGCTCCCATCCCACCCTGCCCAGCTCCCCACAGCCCATCCCTGCAGGGCAGGGAGTGCCCCAGGGTGAGCTCAGAGGGGACATCCCTGAGCCCAGCTGGCCACCAGCACAAACTGGGGCCACCAATGTCCCACTGGGGAGGTGGGAAAGGGACTGGGGTCCTGCCAGGGGGGACAGGGCTCCAGGCTGGGAACCAGGGACCTCTCAATGTGTGTTCCTGCACA